GCAGTTTTCCTCTTAGCAGGGTGGCAAACTCTCTTCAAAAACTGACTCGTCGATCGGCTTTTCGTTTGAAAAAAAATTTGAGACAAGGCTCGTCCACGATGACGTGGCAAGAACAACTTTAAAACCCTTTTAAAGCTGTCTACACACGCAAGCAAACACGCACGCCTACCAATACCGAGGCAAAAAACTGCTCTCCCGCTTAAAACTTTTCCCTCACCTAACTGTTGCACTTTAAGTACGCGAGACAGCTGGCAAAAAAACATCAGAGGTCTAACGTGCTAGGTAATAACGCCGTAAGAGCCTTCAGGCGTTGCCAAAATTCCCTCGACAAAACTTTGCTTTTCGAAGATAATTTGTGAATATTTTTCCTCCGATTTTTCAGAGAATTTTGTTCGTAATTTGATCTGAAGTGTCTGAAATTTTTTATGAAAAATATTCATAACTTTTTTTCAAAAACAAATATTTTCTGCGAGAAAACTTGGCAGCTTTCGAATGCTCATACGACGTTTTTCCTCAGCAAGGCAGAGAGATGAGTAACTTGATCGATTCGAGAAATTTACCGCGTTTTTTTCCCTTTCGACAGCAAAATCGTAAACTATTTTGACTGCGTTGAGGGGGGAAAAGTTGAATTGAACCAAACCGGCTAGTTGCGAAAAGTGCCTAGCCGCAGGAAAAGAATATTTTCCAGCAAACAGAAAAACCCGAATTCAGCCGAAAATGTTCGATGAATGGAAAATATTTTTGGCGCGCTTTAGTTCAGTTCCCCGAAAGAGCCCCGTAGACGAAGGGTTACAATTTTGGATCCCTGCTAGTTTAATGAGGCCGTTTTAAACCTTCGATTTGGGCACTTTTTAGAACGAGAAATATTTGGCGCCTATCTTTCCAATTTAAAATAAAGAGAAGAGAAATAATAAGAAAAAAAGTGAATAAATAAAGGATGCGTACGACCCTAAAAACAATTTTTCTGCAATAAAACGGATTTCTTTATAATCTTCTAAGTCTGGTAGTTCTCATACTTTTCTCATTCAAACTCTAACCCTCTCGCGATTACAGAAACTTAATAATCGCCCCTTTATCAATAGCCTCCGATCGATGAAGTACCATTTCGCAATGTTATTAATCGGGCAAGGTCGCCCCCGATTGGCTACCGGACGAGGTTCAATGAAACAAGGGCCCGCAGTTCCCTTCTTATTCTGCCGTGCTAAGGAAGAAGGCCGTATGAGCCTTCAGGCGTTGCCAAATTTCCTTTGATAAAACACAAATTTCCTGGTAAACTTATGAATATTTCCCTTCCAATTTTTCAGACAATTTTGTTCGCAATTTAATCTAAAATATCTGAGAATTTCAAGGAAAAAAATGCACAACTTTCTTCAAAAATACATTTTTTATTCGGGGAGATTTGGCAGCTCTCGAATGTTCATGCGGCGTTCTTCCTTAGCACGGCAGTGTTTCCCTCCACTGTGTGCTTCCCTGGGCGACCTTTATTCTGGATGAAAGGCCGAAAGCTCGGACCCGTGGGGAGCTTTTCCGTTTCCACGAGCCGCCTACCTGATGACCTTACTAATAGAATCCTACCGGAATGACGTAGCTCTTTACCAGCGAGCAGATCCGAATATTTTAAAATTATACTACGTCAGCACGTTCTGACGCGCAAACTCAGGTCACTTTTTTCGAAACCGCGGCCGTTACCGTAAGCCTTCGTTCAGATTGGAGGGTTTGTCACTGCTAAGGAAAAACGCCGTATGGGCCTTCAGGCGTTGCCAAATTTCTCCTGGCAAATCACTAGTTTTCAGGACAATTTTTGAATACTTGTCTACTAATTTCTCAGATAATTTTGTTAGTAATTTGATCTAAAACTTCTGAAAAATTTAAGGAAAAATATTCAAAATTCTCCTCGAAAATAAACGTTCTATCGAAGGAAATTTGGCAACTCTCGAATGTTCATACGGCGTTTTTACTTAAACGGCAGTATAGTCTCTCTAACTACCTACGAAAACTTGCATTTTTTCCCACGGTTCGTCCTATACTATCTTACTGGGCCGAAAACCATGATTTTTGCGGCTTTCGACAAGTGATAGTCCATAGATGAATCTGCTTCATTCAGATTTCGGAAATATGACCTAGGTTGTTATATATTACGTGATGAAGTCCATCTATATCGACACTAATAAGAAATCTGAAATCTGCCCATCCGTGTCAAAAATACTGACACCTAAAGGTAGGGGACCACCGCCTCCTTCAAAAAATTCAAATTCGCTAGATTCTCGTAGACGATTGAAAGAAAGATAGATTATAAAAAGATAAGGCCCAAAGAAATCCGAATTTGAGGGCTTCGTCGTTTCTCTCAGAGGCTTCTCTGATGGGGGTACAGGGGCGACCCCCACCCCACATTGGTTAAATTTACAAGTTCGGAGGAAGAGCATCGTGTAAGCATTTTACGTAGAATTCATCGCCATACTCATTCCATGATTTTTCCCTGATTTTCAGTACCTTATTCCCCGATAAGGAATCAAAGTTTTCTCCCACTTTGCCGAGATTTCCTTTTTTACGATAAAAAACGATAAAACTGTTCCAGATATGAATATGATCGAATTTGTAATTTTTTTTTTAAAATTTTTCAGCCGACTTTTTGGCGCACATTCACAGGTTTATTTACAAAAGCGTTCCTTATGTTAATGTTACCTAGTCAATGAAAGCTGCTCTAATAATATCATGATTTGAATATTCAAATATTTCGTTCAATGGGCCACAATAATAGCGGCTCGGGTGCAATGAGATGAATCTTAATAACAATAGGCACTTAAAATTTCAGCAAAATATAAAAACGAAATGGTTTTCAAGCGGCAGAGGAAAAGATTCTCGATTTCTGCAACGGATTCCCTGATTTTTCCTGACTTTCCCTTGAATTTGTCATTCTTTGATAAATCCCCCCGGTTCCACCCGGTCTTAGACACAATGAGTAGAGGCTCATACAGCCTTCTTCCTCGACACAGCAGACTAAGACTACAGGCTGCAGGAAATTTCAGCAACATTTAAAAACTAAATGATTTCCAAACGGTAGAAGAAATTATTGTCAGTTTTCGCGACAGATTCCTTGATTTTTCCTGATTTTCCCTCAAACTGTTCATTCTTCAACAAATCCCACTTTTTCCCTGCACTAGACACCATGTAGCAAAGGTCATACGGTGTTATTCATGAACACAGCAGACTAAGACTACATGCTGCTTATGCACGATTCTCACACTGTTTTTGTTGGTTTATTCAGTCCCGAGTCTAATTTCGGTCGGATCGACGCCGCTGCAGGAAATTTTAGTAACATTAGAAAACTAAATTGTTTCCAAGCGGTAGAAGAAGAGATTTTCGGTTCTCGCGACAGATTCCTTGATTTTTCCTCAAAATGTTCATTCTCCAATGAATTTTCCCTGCACTAAACATCATGAAGTAAAGGTCAAACGGTGTTATTCCTCAACACAGCAGACCAATACTACAGGCTGCTTGTGCGCGGTTCTCACACTGTTTTTGTCGGTTTATTCAGTCCCGAGTCTGATTTCGGTCGGAGCNCCCCCCCCCCCCCCCCTTTCACCTTAGTCCAACCGACCCGAAGACTGCGCTTTCGGTTCCACGGCCTCGCACAAGCATAGACGCCGTCCTTGCCGCAAAACTACTACGTTTTAATTCCTCGATCAATAAACAAAGCGCCCGTGTGACCCATCGCCGGGTCGAGAGCCCCGCGATACACGTAAACCAACGGCGAGCAGGGGTCACGAAACGGACCCGAATACCGAACTGGCAACCATGTGCAGCGTTGCATTATGCCACCAGAGATTGTGCTCGCTTCGACACGCATCTGTGTACGGTTGCACGGGGTCAAAGTCCTCGTTTTGAAACAATGAGCGCAACCACCTGAAGTGGCCGCGCACTCCGCTTTAAACTTATCTTATGAAAATTATTGCTAAAATTATCTCGAACTATCGAGCGCCTTCTCGCGGATCGAACTTTGAGAGGGACTTTGCGGCACGCGCTAACTTTTCCGGAAATGGGCTCCCTTCACCTACCCCTCCCCTCCTTCCCTCGGAATGTAGGGGGAAAGCTGGTGCGCGAGAGAGGGGGTGGTAGATAGCTACACGCTACACCGCCGTTCTCGGGAAAAACACCCTACGAACTTTTCAATGTTGCCAAAATTACCCCAAAAATACTTACTTTTGAAGGAAGATAATGGATGTTTTTCCGTGTGATTTTACAACGCTTCCGAGGACATTGCGAATAAAATTATCGGAAATTTGGAGGGAAAATAATCAGAAATTTTCCGGGAAATTCTAATGACGGCAAAGGAAATTTGGCAACGTCAGAGAGTAGATATGGCGTTAATCCTTAGCACGGTAGTGCAGTGCTGCCGTGTTAAGGAAGAGCGTCATATAAGCCTTGGAGCGTTGCCACATCTCCATACACAACGTACGAAGTTCCTAAGTAACTATACAATTTTTCTTCCGATTTTTCCAATAATTTTTTTCGCACCTCGCTCTGAGGCGTCCGAAAATTTCAAAAAAACTATCCGCATCCATCCTTCAAAAATGAATATTTTTAGGGGTAAATCTGGCAACATTCGAAAGTTCGCAAAGTGTTTTTTCTTGGCACGGCGGTGCAAACCCACAGAGTATGAGTAACGAGACAAAAAATGCGAGAATATTTTTAAAATTCAAACTCACACCGAAGCATGTAAGTACGTTAATGAGACATCCGACGCAGAAAAAAAAAGGAAGTAAAAAGAGCATTTTAAATGACGTCTTGATGAACGGTATGCGAAACATGACACGAGCAATGGGTATAAGTACATTCAATAAAAATATAAAAAACAGGAAAATGAGAGAGCAGAAGATAGAAAGAGGGCATAGAATGATGCGGAAAATAGCAAGAAATCAAAATGAAAACCATAACCAAATAGGGGGGAAATGGGATCGGGCGATCTGGGTGACATTTTCAGATCAAATAAGTGGTTTTGCCTTTCAATCCTCTCGTCTCGGCCGGCCATAGGTCATTTCCATCTGCAATTTTCACATTGAGAAGTGGGGAAAACTCCGAAATCGGACGGCAATGGTGAATTTTCCTGGAATCGTCGCGAGGGCTAGTTTCAGGGACACTTATGGGCACGAGAGAATTCGTTTAGTTCTCAACTGCGAGGCAACTGGTTTCAAAATGACTGTTGGAGTAGGAGGATTACGAGGCAGAAATCGGTCGCGAGGGGGGAGACCTGCTTCAAAGGAACTGGTTCGCCCAGTTCCCAGCCTGCTCCGCATCGAAAATAATTCTACGGGCACAGAAACCTTATTGAATACCGGAGAGGTAAACCTGAGTTATTACAGCACTTGCTGCCCCGCTAACGTCATTTTCACGAAAAAAGCGAACGGAAGGTTTATGACAAAAGGAGGCCAATGCAATGTTGCCATGCCGAAGGCAATAGTCGATTAATTTTCCTAAGGGGATAACTTCAGCAACTCGCGCATTAGGTACTTAGATGATAAGGCATTCAAGGTTAGAAAATTATATATATAATTATATATACATATCAGAATTTCGGCCTCCGCGAAATTCTCGATGGGTTCTCGGAAAAATAAGTAATTTGGCAACGCATGGCGCTGAGGAAGGGCGAGCCCGCGTATAGTGGGTCCCCGTCGACATGACGGCCGGATCGAAGAACGAATATAATTAGAATCCAACATGGCTGCCCGCTGCAGATGATTACGAAATTACGTAGAAATCGAATTGCGCCGCGCCTGACGACATCGCGAAAGGACGGAAATTCTCGCGAAAATTGTCCGCGGCCGAAATGCGTGGCGTTGCATCATGAGACGAAATAAACATCGGGGGGAAAAAAGACAAATAATTGGGACAGACGTGGAAGTTACAGAGAAGAAACACATCTCGGGTGATTTTCCGTGTTTCGGAAAGAGGCCAAGCACGGGCTGGGGACCAAAGGCATGCAACTTCGGATGAGCACCGAAATTTAATCGTACCCGAGATCGAAATAACGGGCAGAGAGAAAAAAAAATATAAAAAAATGATGATTAGAAAAAGAGGAAGTATTAGGGAGAGTATCCGGATCGCGGTTTTAATCACCATTGCCATACGGTTCCGAGTTATCTAACACTTCTCCGGGCATTGAGAGTACTAAAATTATCAGTAAAGCTAAGAATTACGGTTTCAAGACCTAACCAAAAGTTTATTATCAATGAGCAAGTAGTATTGATTTACTCCACCTTTCTGGTTCGACTGAATTTGATCCGCCATTTGGCGTTAGTTGGGTTTCACTTTTGAGGGCCATGTCCACGGGAGCCCTCGCTGCCTAGTACAAATACAGTAAAACACTAGATATATGACACTTAGTAATAATCATATTATGTTCGGTGCCTGACTTCGTAAGCATGGCATCGAGATATCATACGTGATTTGCAAAATTCAGGTTGCAGCAGTGAAGATTCTCAGACTACGCTTCTAGTTTCAACGATTCACGGCGTCACTCGATCTCGAATGAACAGAAATGGGGACGAGTTCTGACAAGCTACCAATGTGGAGGGGGAACTCCCGCATTCCTCCGTAGGAGAGGAGGAGAAATCGGAAACACACTAGTGCCGATTTCTCCCGCCAAAACCCCGTGGCAGCACCGTCCAACGTGATGAGCCGAGTGTGAACTTACGGAGAAGCGGGAAAACTTGAAACCCCGTCCGAATTCAGGGTTTTCGAATTCGGTGGTGCTTTTTCGTCGATTAACTTCTCATCGGCGGAGCTCAAGCTGCTTGGTTGCCTGATATTAATGTTCAGATAGTTGAAGAAAGTGATATTTTTCTCCATGTCAATGGGACCGAATCAGTTCCTTATCATCATCGCTCGCGCATAAATGCGCGCGTTTAGCTGATGGATCGTAATTCTAGACCATTCACAAAAATGATTTTTTTATGACGAGAGTCCTGTACTGGAGAATGAGTCACGACCTGCTACGCTCACGGTTGATTTCAGACTGGCGATGAGTTCCAAGGTTGAAAGCCAAACAACCCTCGTGACAACGAGATAAATACAAGATGGTTCCTATGACAACACAACAGTTGTTATGACTAAAATTCAGGAAATCCAATCGAATCCTGCTAGGCATCCCTGTTCATTATAATAGCTAACGACGGCTGAATAACAAGTTGAACGCGCTTATTAAAAGCCTCTACCTTGAAGTAAAGAGCTAGAAGATCTGATGAATATCTTCATCACGAAAAAGCAGGGTGTCTATTGAAACAGGCTGGTCAAAAATAAGTACTTTCACAGTACTTTTTCAGTACATCCTCAAGAAATTCAGTGCCACCTTAACAGAAAAATTCAGTACTTTTTCAGTACTTCCAAATGACGAAATTCGAAAATTTTCAAAAATTAGAAATTGCGACAGAAATGACAAAAAATTGAAAAAATTCCGGACATATTTGCGGAATTTCCGCACTTTTTCGGCACTTCTGGACCGCCCTTAAAAAATCACAAATTTTCGGACTTTCCGGACTTGTAGACACCCTGAAAAAAATCATTTAGGCGAGTGGGAAAGGGGGGGAGGTTCCTTTTGAAGAACAGGAATGATGAGGTGGAGGGGGGGAGAGAGAAACTATCAGAGAAAACTGCACATCCAGGTGTGGAAATTATTTCAGCTTTTTTTTACAGTGACTGATGTCATTACTTTAAAGTTTTCTCAATGAAATTGGTAAAAAAAGATTCTTCCGGAGGCTACTTGAGAAGATCTTAGACGGGAAAGTAAAATAGACGCTCTCTTCTTTGAAGTAACTTTAAGAGTCCTTCCTGCAGTGAGAGGTAGATATAACTCACTTTTAGAAATAAGTTTCCATAATGAAGTCTATTATTCTGACGACTCTAAAAAAAGTTGAGAAACGCAGAAATTTCATAGAGTAAACACTCAGAAAAATGTCCGACCCATTCTGTCCTTTCCATGATGAACACCACCTTATGCTTTAACAAATTTTTTTTCACCTTGCTATGGTAAATTTTGCCGAGTAATTTATGAACAATTTTGGTTCTTCATGTTGCATGTATAGAAACTTACTTTGCATCTTGCATCAATTGAAATGATTTTTAGAATTTTAATGAACCAAATTTTGATGCTTTATTTTTCTATACCAACTATTATACTTCATTGGACTGACTATTCTATTATGATTTCTGTTTTTTTTTAATACTCAGATATATGTTTTTTAAATTATTATTTTATTCATGCGGAGAGTTAAAATTTGTTTTTTCATAATTAAAAGGACTGACTCATCTGTGTAAGAAAAGAGAGACTACGATTTGGCTGCCAATCTTATTATTCAACCTAATTTAAAATAAAAAAACTAGATCTAAAATTGATTCCAAAAAGCTTTTTGAAAACCGAACAATTAGCAATGAATTAAAAATAACTAACAACAAGTTAAAAAACAAAATTTATACTTCTCTGTTCTATTACTATATACAACCAAATTAAAATTAATTCACAAAAAATAGAGAAAACCGCCTCCCTTAACATATTTACAATGGGAACGTACATTATTATTTACAGAGGTTCTGTAAAATTTAAAATCTGATTAACAACTTTGAGAAACGGTAGTATCACGTCACTCAAAAAAGAGGAAGCGTGTAAATGAGCAGAAACCAGCCCAAAACTTGGGGAAAAACTACCAAGGTGAGCAGCATTCAAACAGCAAGGGTTATAAGGCACAGTACTTAGAATATGGGCAAGTTTTTAACTCCTTAAATTACTTATTTAAAAGTGCCTACATTGCTTGTTCAGAGGCAAGGCAATAAACCATTTTTCTTTTTCCATTTCAAGCGGAAGAATAGCATGAAATTTTAAGGAAATTAAAAAAAATGGAAAACAATTTGCTTTTACAAATAAAAATGTTAGATGAATGACAGTATGCGAGGGAAAAAACGAGATAAATCAGAAGCGGAACAAATTAAATTCCTCTCTAATCTCAGCGAGAAGATGAGATTTTATTCGATTGAATCAGAAGACAACCTCCCACAGAGAACCAACAGACAAGAAATGAATTAAGCCACCGAGGAGCATGATTTCTCATTCAAACTTGAAAGGCAAAACAATGAAGTCAATTCAAAGCTTCAAAATCGGCTCCGTAGTCAAATATTAGCGATTGTAACTGACATTATTGAGACAGAAAAATCCAAGACATTTCAAATCGGTATTGGCTGCTTTTATTGGTTTAAATAGGTGTTAATTATTTAAAAGTTTACTATGCACATCGTTCCTGCATGGAATTTTGACGAGAAAACATTTTCTGTGGAGATCTAAATGTTCGAATCAGAAATCTAAATGTTCTTGCTTGTCAATTAGAATGATTTTAATATCCGTACAAAATTATTTTAAACATAATGACCGAAGTAAAAATTTCAGAGTCTCAGAGGACCAAGCTTCCGCTGAAATTAATGTGAGTAAAATGATATGGTGTTTTGATGGTAAAGCAGATTCAAGTCATTATGATTGGCGGCTTTGGATATTGCAAATATTTAACAAAATATCAAGGCAGGTGAAGAAAAACGGTCGAGGCAAAATTAATGGTGAAAACTGGGAGAAAATTCATCCACATTCTCATCACATACCAAACCTTACAAGAGAATTCTACACTAAAAATCTTTGGGTTCAAATTAATTTCAGTATACTTTCATATTTTGGAGCTTAATTATTAAAGAAATTTGTATTTTTTTACTAGAGAACGTCACTGAATTGACCTAGGTTTTAACCAGTCAAGAACATTTCTCTGAATTCTGAGTTTCTATCAAATGAGCATGGACTTTTGAGGACAAACTCTGCAAATTCAGCCAATATTTCCTTCATGTGAAAATGAATGCCAGCTTGCTGCGCAAGAACAACAAAAACATACGGTTTATGATGACACACGGTTTGTCTGAGTTAAAGACAGATTGAAAAAGCTTCGCTCAAGCAAGTTTCTTATCGGATCCTGAAGCCCGATGTGAAGATCATTTAAATTGAAAATATTTCTAATTATGCCAAGCTCATCGAAAATACAATTAATTTGTGTGTTATTTCGGCTAAGGTGGGCTCAACTTCATTAAAACAATTTTGATCTGAAGGATAAAGTACAAATTCATATGAATTTCTACCTATACTAATATCATAATCATCTAATGAATTGTAATAGAAGCTTCAGCTGGATATCGCATACCCCGTGTAATCGAAAATTCATAAATATGTTATGTGTATGGGAAAAATTAAAAAACGAGGATAATAATAATTTAAAAAAAAATGATAACAGGTGAATGTGCCCTATCTTTGCGCTGGATAAAGGATGAGCAGATAATTTCGTAACGTGAAATTAATTGAGCAGGGCTTTGAATAGCTTCTATTGGCTACCTGGACCCAGAAACAGCACTTACTGTTTTTAAAAAAAATTAACTGGTTCTATTTTCGGCTTAACTAATAGTGTTTACAGCGCCTGGGCAAAGTTTCCTTATTTACTTTTCACTGAGACAAACATGGGTATCATTCAACTACCATGACTCGCGGAAATATATTATTGTTCTGAATTCCACTTATTTTTTCAGAACTCTACCACTAGAAATGTAGCATTCAAATATTGATCAAATATAATATGACAGTTTAACTGTACTTACTTACTACAATTACAGAAGCGAATTGATTCTTTAAAGTCATTAGAACTTTGGGCAAAGCAGATTTTCTCGTGTTGGATTTTCATAAAATTCTTTTTTGGAGTGAGAAGTCATACAGGTCAGTTGGAGGGGAATCTAATCATTATAAGCTTCATTTTCCTTTTCAAAGTCACTGGAACTATCTTCATTGCTCTCCGAGCCACTTGCATCTTCCACCTCTTCGTCATCTTTTTCTGTTTCATCTTCCACCTCTTCTTTGACAGCGGGTTTTTCATCAACTTTCTAAAGGACAAAAAAACATTCTTCACTTAAAAGTCAAACAGAAACCTAAATACAGTTAAACAAGAAAACACAAGATTTTAAAATAAAAAAAGAAATACAAATTGAATGACTTGATCATAAGGAAAAGTTTTGGCAGGATTCCTGTTGGATGTGTTTGGAGGAAAACAATTCATGGGCAAAAACATTCATATTTCACTCTTGTTTTTAAACATGTTCAAGTTTCACCGCAAGAGCCGTCATATAAACAGTCTATTCGCTGGTTGCTGAAGGCCATAAGAGCCATGATGGCCTGTGTTTTGAGCAGATGCTGTTTGTGGCTCCTCCAAGGTCCAAATTGCACACTTTTGACTATGCTCGAAACCTGTAGGAAGTGCCACGGTTGTAGTAATCACTTGCAAATCTTGCCTTTCTTTAAGTGTTTTTCCGGCCTGACAGGACCAATCTTGCAAAACGAGTGGTAGAAATGAATCTGTTAAGAATGGCCTTGCTAAAGGGCAATAGATATTTTAGCAAATATGTTTGAATGGTTAAAATTCATACGCTTGTGGTGATCTTTACTTGCATAGAAGAACTAATTAAGGGTTCAAAAAATAATCATTCGTGCTGAATATTCAAGGTAAGTAAATGCAGATCCAAATTTGAACACAATTTTTAGGCATTCACTGCGGCTAGGAAAAAACTTGCTTGGCCAACTTCAAACTTGTATGAACATGGTGTATATTAACTTACAACTTTGGTGGAGTGCTGATAGAAGACGAATGAAATTCCAGCAGGCCAGCAACTTTTCAGGATAGGATCTACCAGCCACCGTTTATCTGCGCAATGATACCAACAGCTCAAATCACAGGTGCAATCACTGTCAGCAGGAGGAGGCTTCATCTGAACTCCGTTCACACATCGCTTGCATTTGATTCTAAAATAGGATTACAGTAATGATTAAACGTTAGGATTGAACGTAGGATTCTCGGTTTCCTTGATGTTTCCTCAATATCTATGAGATAGCATTTGCAGTAACAACAAGAGATTGCTACCTTACTGAGAGATGAGGAGCAAAAGTAAGAAATAAGTGTCCCTTTGTTTTCAAAATGAAAGAATTTGAAATTTAAAAACTTTGCAAACATTTCGCTAAGGTAACATGATAAATCACGATTGGGCCGCGTCAAGCACAAAGGAACCAAGCCACATCAGCTATTGCCAAATTTAAGTGGGCAACTTAATTTTAACATGAAATCTGTTGTGCAGATTTTTGTGCAAATTTCAGTAAATATTCTGCTTAGTTCGAGGCAAGTTTCTATTAATTTTTGAGGGAATCTGCACAAATGTTCCTTTGTAAAAATTGAATTGCCCAGTAAAATTTGGCAATAGCTGATGTGGCTTGACTCCTTTCTGCTAAACGCGGTCCAATTAAGCCCATGGATGGACACAATTATATTATTAAGTTTATTGATACAGAGGTTTCCATAGCGGAAAACAAAGAGAATGTAAAAGCAGCCCAAAAAGGAAACGAACAATCGAAAACACAGGAAAATGCGGAAAAAAGGCTAAAATACAAAATACAGAGGCAGGACGTTTCGGTACCTTACAGCACCATTATCAACTGCTAAAATAGAATTAAAAATAAAAAAGAAATTAAAATAAAAACCAGCAAACAGCGTTACATAGTGAAATCGGTAAATCAATAATAATTGGTAATCGCCGTTTGCTGGTTTTTATTTTGATTTCTTTTTTATTTTTAATTCTACTTTAGCAGTTGATAATGGTGCCGTAAGGTACCGAAACGTCCTGCCTGTGTATTTTGTATTTTAGCCTTGTTTCCGCATTTTCCTGTGTTTTCGATTGTTGGTTTCCATAGCAGACTTCTTTTCATACATAGATGCAATTCATAAAAAGAGATTTGTTAACAATTTTTTTTAAATTCTCGGTCGGCAGAATTTTAGCCTAAGTTAACAAGACCTCTTTGATAAGGAAAGAAGGGGTCAGTGTAACCAAACCAAGAATATAATTGAATCTGATGGTTAGTTAAAAAACAAAAATGGTTCAAGTACTATAATTTATCGTTTAGAAAAAAAAAGCAGAGTTTATCTTCAGTTGTTTGACACTTACTCCATTTCTACATAATTATTTATGACCAAATGTGCAGAAAATGTTCGAGTGCACAAGCCAGCTTGTGGTGTGAGATTCTTGATGAAAGACCATAGTCTTGAGCAAAAAATAGAGAAAAAGTTAGTTAGCATGTTATTTTTGGAAATTTTTTGTCACAACGTAAAATTTTAACCTTTAGGAAATTTTCCAAAAATAGATAAAGAAATTTTGAGACAAATATTGCAACTATTTTTTGATCTGAGGAAGTTTCTGCGCCCCTGTTTTCCAACTTCTGACTCAAAATATGTTGACTAGTTCATTTTGCAATTATTTTTATTTTTCTTGCACAATTATCGTTAATTGTTTTCCTGATAGGTTGCATTGAGGGGATGGAATGACTGACGTACTTGTCATGTGTATCACTAATGGTGTTCTCCTCCAGCTGGAACAGGGATCGAAGCTCTGAAAGACTGAAGTGGCGCGCAACATCTTCTTCACAATCAACAACACTAGAACTGAGAGCTTTCTTGTGAGCCTGCCGTTGCATCATTTTCTCCTCGATAGTTCCCGTCTGCAAACAAAAATTGATATAGAATTAGGAGACTCTGCTTTTCATGTGATCAGAGTTGGATGAGTTTCGAATTCTTGCTGGAGGAATTTGTATTCGGAGCATGCATCCTATGAAAATATATCGTGAGCACATGATATACTGTGAACTGCAATTTAATTAATCATTTTTTATGCTTTGAGCGGAAAATTGAAAATTTGGATAAAAGTCATAAGATTGAATTACAATTTTGTTCTGGTGCCATCATTGGTAGAGGGTTCTGTATGTTATTTCTTTCGTACGAAAATCCTCGGGGTGGGCAGGAATGGCTCAAAATGATAATTGTCAGTAAAAATAAATATAAAAAAAAAATTAATCTATTCTTATTTAAAACCAAGGAAATCAAGGATGGCATAAAGTTTCTCCAATAATTGTTCCAATTTAGAAACCAAGGATATCCTCATACTCAGTTTTCCTAGCAGTATCATTTTAAAGATGAAATTCTCAAAATTTCAGACACCTACAAATTCTCTGTTTCTGGAAAAACTTCAAGGAATTATACTGATTTGCTCTTCCTTAAAAAAATAAGATGGGAGCATAGATTTTTAAATATGGCAAACGAGATACCTGGTAGAGAGTTTCACCATTGATAAATTTTATTTTCTTGTAGTTGGGATTTTGCTCGTTGAAATTTATTTGAATCGATAAATATAAAAAACTTACACACAGAAACCTGTAGACAAAACAAGGTTTCTTTTGACCATCTCTCCACACTCGTGCCATGGCTTGGTCATCGTTAGCAGGGTTCCAATCTGGATCAAACATGACTAATCGATTAGCACCAATCAAGTTCAGACCGCAGCCTCCCGCTTTTGAGCTCAGCATGAATATGAAATCACCTCCCGTCGGATCGTTGAATTTTTCCACGATCTGGAAAAAAGCAGAGAAAACTGTAATGAGGTATGCAAATTTGAATCAGTGAGAACGAAAACAATGCACAGTGGGTGAAAAAGTTAGTCTAAGAAAAATATTTTTGGTACCGAAAGACAAGTACTTAAGGACACTTAAAAGGTCCAAATTGGAACAGATACTCTACCTTCAATGACCTCTGTGAAAATTGAGCATTTTCGAGTTACCGAGTAGGTGTGATTTTGTTCTCGCTGATTCATTTATGAGAATAAAAACAAGAGACGAAACCAGTGCAAGTGGAAATAACTGGCGAGTTTCGAAGAGTTTGTCTGCTTCAAAAAAGAGAAAAGAAATATGAGGACCTCAAAGTGGGACGAGAGATCCTAAGAAGCAGAGTGTGAACTAGGAGTGTAGGAAATTTTCAGCCTTCCCATTTTGAACATCCTTAGTCATTCCACATTTTTTTAAGAGATGATCCTTGATCTTTGTAGGCAAAAATATGCAATTTTACTGATGGGCCACAATTTTCATGTGGTTGCAAACTTACCTGGCCATATTCAAAGCCTATTTTTGTACAATTCAAATTTTCAAAATCCCTTTTCACACCCTGCCGTTTTCAAAGCCCTTGATGTCTTCCCATTCGTACAGGCTGCGCAATCTTCTGAGCAAGTTTCTTTACCCCTAGAGTAAGTCATATAAAGTTGGTAAGAACATACCTTCGCTCGTTTTTTAATTGTCATGGTTCCGTCCAAACGAACGTAATTATAATTCCTCAAACTACATAGGCGTTGGAAAAGGTCCAAGGTCTGCGTGTAGTTGGATACTAGAACGATTTTATCTGTTGTTGTTGTTTTAATGACTGCCAGCATAGTATCCAGCACCATAAGTTTTGCAGACAGCTCAACCTGTAGCTTTTGCCTGGGGGAGAAAAATATATATTACACATAATTGGAGTTGATTGAGAGCATTTGATTGTTTTCACAGTATCTCATGACTCTGTCTTTAGTATGCAAGATTTTTGGCTCAAGCCTTGTAAAAATTCAAAGAAATGGAGAGTTTGGCAAGAAGGAATTTTTTTATTTTAAATAAATTTGAATGTTTAAATAGCATGATTTGAGCAACTTGAACGAAATGAACATATCAGAGGAGAGAATTGAGGGTGCTTGTATCCAATTTTATGATATGAGATTAGCAGCACACAAGTATTCACTTAGCAAATATTGATCATAGAATGAAAACGTAAATATGGACTGCACAAGATGTGCATATATGAGAAGAAAATATGTATAATTAACAACAGACTTAAGGTGATTCGTCAAGCTCAGAAGAAGTGGTCGAACTGGCATGCGATAAATCGCATCTTTCAATTAAAAAATCTTGGCAGACTTTGAATTTTTAGCAAAAAAAAAAAGGGACAATAGCCCTTGTGCATGAGCCTAAAGAATCATTCTAAATCCAAAAATTGGCAAAATTCAGAGAAATGAAAGCAGAATAGTGTTTGAAAAAAAAACCTCGCATTTGAATCAGCTATCGATTTTTGTATCGAATGCGAGGTTTTTTTTCCAAACACTATTCTGCTTACATTTCTCTGAATTTTGCCGATTTTTGGGCTTAGAATGATTCTTTAGGCTTAGGTGCAGGGGCAATCGTCCTTTAAGTTGCTAAAAATTCAAAATCTGCCGAGATTTTTTACCTAATCGATGCGATATATCGCATGCCAGTTCGACCACCTCACTTGAGCTTGACGAATCACCTTAACAACGATTTTTTTTGTTTCAAAATTCTTTTTGAAACGATATTTCCAGACTGTTTTCGAACAAGTAGCAAGGATTTTAAAGTGTAAGTGAGTCATTACATATATGTTATTTAAGACACAAGAAGGTTAATTAAACGATCAGCCAAAGGTCACGTCACTTTTCTATTTTTTATACATTTTTTCTTCGAATACATTTCTATTAATACCTATAAATTTTAATTTAATTAAAAGTCAAGCATGGAACTTAGAAAAAAGTATCTTGGTTTGCAATATTGAAGACTCTTTGGATATTTTTTGCTTCTTTAAAGAACCATTGATCATTGTTGATACATGAAATTTTGTGCCATTCATCTTCGCCCTTGCAAGAATATTCTCATGGAAAAATATTCCACAATGTGCATAGATTTACAAAATCTGTGTAGAAATGTTAAATGATTTAGTGAAGATCCATGTCTTTCTGGAATCATTAAGAATAAGAACGATAGTTGTCAACTATGAAATGAATTTCTGAAGCTGTTGGGAGATTTCTAAGAATAACTGGATCGAGGTCTAAAATTTCTGGCTGGCACGCAATTTTAAAACAATCAAGATTGTACCTTTTGTAAGTATCGATGTACTCCTTAGGTAGTAACGAGATCGCTTTTTCAAATCCATCTGCTCCGGAAAGTATCTTATCCATAACCAAATCTGGATGATTGCATAGCTTTTTCAAAGATGTTATTGACGACAGCGCAGTTAAACTGACTTTGTCATTAGAGTCTGAAACATAAATAAGGAATTTAAATTAACTCTTATGATGATAGTAGACGACTGAAAAAATAAAAACTTCAACACTACAGTGCTGGACAGAAAAGCCGTTTGAAAAGTTGGTAGTTAAGACATTTCTCACAATTAAATATTTTTAGAAAGGTTACAAATTTTCTTCCTGGAAATTTTCAAAGGTGCTATATTCAATTGCGAATAAATGTCTCTGGGGAATTAAACTGAAAATATTTTAAGTTTTCCAGGAAATGAGTGTTCTATAAGGGGAAAAAATGGCAACACCCAATGATTAGACGGAGGTTTTCCTACTCTTGGCAGAATACCACATTGTACGCTTCATTTCCGGAATTTTATGCATAACAAGGTGGGCACCAGAGGTCAATTGGTATCAAATAGTAGTGTAGAGACCTCTCAATTTTCTAATGGACTCCTTTGCCTCTGAAGGGCACAAGAGAAATTTTTTAAATTAACTCATGGGTAAAGATTCGACATCCTTCTTGTTTCAAAATTTTTTTATTTCAGAAATGTGGAATTTTCAATACGATTCTTCTTCATGAACTAAGGTTCAGATACACAGACAATTCTAGCAGAACTCAACCAAAATTTCTATGACGACTCGAAAGAAAAAGTTATCTTGGTAGACGAAGACTAACCTGTGACTAAGAAGATATGATGATAAGATACTCACCCTTGACTGTTCTTCTTACTGCGTCAGATTTGATGAGATGTTGATACAATTGTTTCTGGATGGATGATAGGTTTATGCAGACCACTTGTTCAGTCTTATCAGGGAGGTACTTGGACAACAGTGCAGATGTGCGTCGAATCATGCAGCGATTTACAATACCTATAAGCTGACTCAACCTTTCTTCCGCTTTCTTTCTTTCATCTACTGTTGCATACGCATCTTGTCCACGCAAAATTGGGTTTTCGTACTGTTTTCTGAATTCCTGTGAAATGAAAACCAAACGGATTAAGAACTTCAACAACTAAGAATCAGTTTGATAAGTTGATCACAGCAACAGCCTCTCAGTCCTCTTAGGCTGTGCTGATCATGCATCACCACTACCTGCGTTGCATATTGGCAGAGGGAATGACTCTTACGATGCAGCTGGTCATCATATCAGTGCATGTTTGCATTCTGCTGTTACTGGCGCTGCCTAATGTTTAAAATAGAGCCAAAACTGTTGAGATGCAACCTTTCCCACCGATACTTTTTGCATTTATATCTTCCTGGAGTACAGGTGAAGACCTGAGCTGGTAAAAATTGCTTACCAATTAATGCGTTAAAAATAAGGAGTAAACATTATGAGACAGAGGAGTCATAAAGGCAACATTTATACATCAAAACTTGCTCTCCCATTGAAATTAGTACCTAAAAAAATCAGCACATTTTTCTGAAGAATTAATTTTGGATCAACAAATAGAAACATGTGTCAATAAACTAATCCTCTCTTGATTAGGTATTCAATTTTCTCATAGTCCATAGATGATTCAATCAGTTTATCAATAAACAATTCAACTGGTAAATCAATAGAAGATTCGACTGATAGGTCGACTGAGGATTCAAGAGGTAATCATCAGACGAGTCGACTGGTCGATCAATGGACGATTTGACAAATGATTGATTGACAGTTTGACTGGTCCATTGACAGATGACTTGACTCGTCAACTGATAGTTGATTTGACCAATCGATCCATAGACAATTCAACTAGTCCATTCATGGATGATGTGGCTGCTCGATCAACCAGGCAAATCAACGGTGGATCAACAGAAGGAATCTTTTGTGAATAGATCTGTCAAATTGTCTATCTATTAACCATTTCATTATCTCAATATGCAGACAATTCAACCAATTTAACAACAACAAACGATTCAACTGGTTGACTGAAGGAAGATTCTGGTGGATTAAAGAGGATTAGACTAGTTGATCAAAAGAAAATTCGACCAGGATATAGAGAGAAGATTGAAAAAAAGATTCAATTGGTCAATCGATACACGATTCAAGTAGTCCATCAATTGAAGGTTCGACTGATGGTTTGACAATACATTTGGCTGGTTTGTCAACAGATAATTTGTCTGGTCAATTCAGGAACAAATCTTCTGGGTAATAATATGACAATTATTAATAGAAATATTGATTATTTCATTGTCAGACAATTCAACTTGTGGATAACAGAAGATTTGACGAGTTGAAATTGTAGTTTTGGTGAGTTAAACAATTAAAAAAGAAAAGAAAAGAGAAATAAAGGAGATAAAAAAACAAGAGGGATTTTTATATGCTTTGAAAGAACTTACCTGTGAAGTTCCTAAAAGTCCTTGATTGACAAAATGAACTAAGCTGAAATATTCAAGGAGATCGTTTTGAATCGGTGTTCCAGAGAGCAGTACTCGACGCTGACACTGTAATTTCACCAGGGCTTGGTATGTTTGATTTTCACAATTTTTCAGTCTATGCCCCTGAATAAAAAATTATGAAGATACAAATTCAAATTAGAGTTGAACAATTTTACTCTTCCAAGAAACACAATGATTTAAAGTTGTATTGGATATTACTATTTGCACATTTTTATTCATGCAATCAAACTCTCTGATAGACAGCTCACTTGAAGGACGAAGGCTCCTAAATACTTATTCAAAAAATCATGCAAAGTTGAAAGGAGTATTTTATTGAAGACCTTGAAAGTTCAGCTGTGTGAGGATTAAAGAAAATGAGGATTATATTTTAGTTCTGTTAAAAAATGTTCACAGAATCTTCTCTAGATAACTTCATTTTTCTCTTCTTTAATGAGAGATTTCATTCTTAATTAATGAAGCATTGTAACCCGTGCAATTAAAAAAAATATGTTCCATAATTTTAGTGCATTGAATGGCTGGTATAAAGGTTTCTTCATAAATTATCGTTTCCCTGACGAAGGAACATACATCCATTCCAAAGTTGCAAAATCAACCCAATCGATTCAATTTATTATAAGAGTACAACTCAGTAATTTAAGTCTAAAATTTGTCTAATTTTTGCACATAATGGGGAGGAGTCTCGCTGAAATTTTCAGCTGGAAAAATCCAAAATTTTCTTGGTAGGTGAAAGTACAATTTGTGAGTGGGAATTTTGCGAGGCTGAAATGTATTTACATTCCTCCATGAGGGAAATGACGAAATATGGCTCAAAGGAAGTTTGTTGCATCATTTATTATGTGCCATTATGAATTCTTCTCAACTGCTTCATGTCAATGGACCTTAAGGCACGGTAAAAACTGAACCACAACAAAATACACTTGCTAATTACAACTTAAAGCAGGACACATTCAACATGTTTTAAAAGTCCAAAATTAACTCATAAAAGAGAAATTGGCAGCTAAGGTTTAAATTAAGGACTCGAACTTCCGCTTCTATAAACCCGAATCAGAGTACATCAAATTGACCGTCCAAAATGACCTTATCATTCGGTAAGTAACCACAGTTGGGTTCCACAAAAACATTCCGCCTCTTTAATGCAGAGATGGATAAAGTCGAAAAATACATATCTCCATCACAATGTTTTAAAATCTTCTATCATGTTTTATGTTTCCACTAGAAAACTATTTAAAATATCTCCTCGATATTTCCTGTGAATAGTTTTGGATGGATGAAGAAAATTCAGGAAAACGGTAGGTTGGATTTCTTTTAAAGAATAAAACATGTACAGAAACTTGCAACATTGCAATCAGAGATACACATTTTTCGACTTCAGTCATCACTGTTAAACTCGTCGAGAGAAATTCAGCACATTAAAAACATTATTTCATTACAAGCAAACTGAAACTGATTTGACTGCTTTGAAATTTTCCTTTTCTTATGGACTCCAGAATTTTTAAGTCCAATATGTTATGTATGACCTTTGATGTTAGAATAGAAGATGGAAGTTGAAAAATCTAACCTCATCACATAGAACTAAGCCCACTTCTCCTTTGTTCAGAACATGAGCATGGCTGCGAAAAGTTTCATATGAAATGACTAGAATGGGATTGACCACTCGCTGTGAGTACGTTTGCATGAAACTGGTTAGCTGCTTGTCGATATGTTCCTTACCACCGCCATCGATTGCCAAAGGATGTACCCTTCCACCAAGCCATTTGACGATCTCATTGCACCAATTCTGAGGGAAAAATTACGACAAAGTTAAATAAAAATTTGATCCTTCCAGTATACTGAGCAAGTTAAGTTATTCGTCACATTGGTCACACTATACATCACAGACAAGTTCATCAGAGGTATGGAAAATGCTTGAGCGCGCTTAAGGCATGAGGAAACCCATAACATAGTACCCATTGTTTTAAAAGTTCACCGTTTAGAAATATTTATCTCCATCCACCAATAAAAAGCGCTGATTTTTTAAATTTTTTCACTCTTAACACTTACTTTTAACATCAGACTTACTTGAGAGTGAGATTGTTACATTTAAATAAAGAATTTTTGAGCCTAAACAGCGAATAAATGTTCTCTGAGTCAGTTTCTGCACTCCTAGAGTTTCGGAAGTATAATTTTGATTAGAATAAGTTTAATTAGACGATACTTTACGAAGATAGGTATCACTGAGAACATGAGAATATGAAAGAGGCTAAATTGCAAATGGAAAAAAAAGAAAGCAAAGGTGGGGAGTTCCTGAAGTTCTTAATTTTTTCTTATCACTGTTAGACAAGAGTAATTTTCTGGAATTCATTATTGCCTGTGGCCAGATCTAGCTTAATATTTGTAACAACTGATAGTCCTAAAACTTTAATGTCCAGTAAAAAAAAATATTCATGTTTTTAAACGACAAAAAATTTTTGAGTTCGTGGAAAATAAACTTGAACCATTTTTTAATTTTGGCAAGGAGAAAATTTTCTGTTGCTGAAGCAATTTTTAGTTGATCTTAAGTAAAACAATTGAAGGTATCAGATCCTTGCGCAACAATTTTCCTGACATGAGCTTCCTTCTTGTTATAACAACAGATAATAGTAATGGGTTGCTACAAAAATAAAATACACACCTTTACTAAAGAGCTAGGAGTGACAATAACCACTTTTTTGATTAATGGTTTACAATCTGGTCCCTGCCGTAAGAGGGTCCACATCAGTGTTATACACTGAAGAGTCTTCCCGAGACCCATTTCATCCGCCATGATACATCCATATGCGTTCTCGATTCGAACTCCTGTTACACATTCGTACATAAACTTCACACCCTGCAAAAAGAATTAACCATAAATAACTAAACTTTTGACACCTGGATTGCATTTTGCAAAAAGGAACCACTAGCATTGCAATGATGCTAAGATTGTGCAACTTCATCCTTTGCAATAAAATTACGGAAATTGTGAAAAAATATGATATTTAGATGGTAATTTTTGTCTTAAATTTACAGTTTTTAGCGAGTAAAATAGAAACTATTAGGGGATAATCGGGTTTTTCCTCCAAGACAAAAGAAGTAGCACAATCTTAGCAACATTGCAATGCTAGTGGTTCCTTTTTGCAAAATGCAATCCAATTGATCCTCTTATGAAAAAAAAAATAAAAAAAAAAAAAAAAAATCTTTCACTGCAGTTTTTTTTTATTATGATGAGAGGCAAAATTTCAAACAAAATAAAATTATCAGACACAAAAAAAAAACACTAAAAAATTTGGCTTGAACTGTATGTAACAAGATGGTAAAATAGTGCTGAGTCTACATTATTTGCGGGGAAAGCAAGGCCAAAAAGTTCCAAAATTTCAATTAGAGTCAAATAATTTAGCCTTGCTTTCCCCGCAAAATAGTGTGGACCCAGCACTATTTTACCACCCTGTTAAAATTATTGGATTCTTAAACCTTTCGACAACAACATTTGTTCATACAATTATCTAAAAAACTTGATGAAAGTTAGAGGTAACAATTTAATATTTTCGAACGTGAAGAGTAATAGCTCATTTTCATCGTTGAGAGTAACTTCCATCTGCAATTACATTTTGTGGGACTTTGAAACTGATTTGAAGATTTGATTTGATTGATTGAAGAGAGAAAAGTCATTCGTCTAGCTAAAAGTTTCAACTGTGCAAAGTGATGAATTGTGTGATTCAAGAAAACACTTGAGTCCATTTTTTTCTCACCATTTTGGAAAATTTTTTACACAGCAATAACATTAAAATGATAGTATAATCAAACATTGCCTCTTCAATTTTTGCTTTCAAGATTTTTCCATACAATTGAAGAGGAGTGGAAAGAACATGAAGCGGAAGAGCAAGCAGGTTTCAGAGCCGGTCGGTCAACGATTGATCACTTATTTACCATCATCCACGTCATAGAGAAAAAGAAGGGAGTTGGCCAGGAATTACATCTAGTGTTTGTGGATCTCCAGAAAGCTTACGATAGTGTGCCATTGATGAAACTTTGGGAAGCCTTGAACAAAAGGGGTTTTAGTGGGGGACTAATTAGTGCTATTAAGGAATTTTATGGTGGGGCTTTCTCTAGGGTTAAATCGCATGGGGAGTTATCGTTGGGGTTTTTAATTACTAAAGGACTGAAACAAGGGTGTTGTTTGTCGCCAACCTTATTTAAAGTGTACCTGGAAGAAGTTTTAAAGGAATGGAAAAGATGCTTTTCGGGAATGGGCGTCCCGCTACGTGAAGATGGCACCCTTTATACTCTGTGCTTTGCTGATGATCAGGTGGTAATAGCTCAGGACGAAGAAGATGCGAATTACATGACGCGGAAGCTAGTGGAAGTATACCGAAAGTGGGGAATGGAAGTAAATGTGGTTAAGACGGAGAAGTTGGTTATCGGTGGTGATCAGCAAAGCATTGAACTGGAGGATGGCCGGAAGATCCTGGACTGTGAAGAGTATAAATATCTCGGAGTTCGGTTAACTAAGGACGGAAATTTGGATCGGGCCATTAAAGATCGGAATGTGCAAGGCAGGAAAGCTATCGCGATGCTAAATGGGGTTCTCTGGGACCAGAGTATCTCCAAGGAGACCAAAAGGAAAATTTACAACGTCATCGTGAAGAGTATCGTAACTTACGGGAGTGAGGTCTGGCAACTTAAGAAAAGAACTGAAGACATGCTTAGGGCAACCGAGATGGACTTTTGGCGAAGGTCTGCTGGGATATCGAGAAGAGAGCGTATCCGCAATGAAAGGGTACGCGAGATAATGGGTGTGGAAAAGGACATCGTGCACGATATCAGGTCCAAGCAGTTGGTCTGGTATGGACATGTGCGAAGGATGGCAGATGATCGGTTGCCCAAGCAGGTCTTCGATTGGGTTCCTCCCGGAAGGCGACGGCGTGGACGTCCTGTGAAAGGTTGGCGACAAGGGGTGGAGGAGGAGATCAGAAGGTGCCAATTGCCTGATGATCTCTGGGAGGATAGGGGGCAATGGCGATTGGGCGTCGCAGAGCGCGAGGCGGCGCTATAATCGCGACTTTATGTATGTATAATCAAACATTGTTTTCCTCAATAATATCTGCTTTGTCAATTTGACTAATGGACAAACTTGTTTATAATCATAAATCGTCGGTAAAACTCCCAAACCCCCTTTTGAACTCTCCGATTTTTTCAATTTCCTATTTATTGAAATGGCTCATTTTTGAGTCAGGTGATTCAAAGAGGTCTCTGCGTTTTCATAAACTATAATAAGAGCCATACTACATACCTCCCGTTGATGTGGTCGCAGAATATTTGATAAAACTGGATCAACTACCACATGGACTTGAACTTTATCTCTAAAAAAAGAGAGAAAAAAATTGAAGATGAAATTAGCATCCTGGATATTGTAATCCTTGTTCGTGTAAGAGAAAATTGAGAAACATAAGTATAAGAAATTCATATGTTCTTCTACATTAATTATTCAATTGAGCATTGTTATAGTTATTCATGATTAATTTAAGCCAGATATAGGTCATTTGAGTCAAGTGCTTCTGGGAAACAAAAATCATCAGATGAAAAAAAGAAGGAAAGTCTGTTTGAAAACACATGAAAGTCATATTTGCACCCAAAAAATTGTGATCTTTGACTGAAGTCAGCTGCCTGCTGGATGACAAAACAAAGAAATAACTCTTAACTAGTTTATGCTGCGCCACAAGCTTGGCTCATAGCTTTGAGAGGTGCATCTACTTATTTTCAAAATATTTTAAGGTGATTATCCAATTGGAGTAAAAAACTATAAAAGTAAAATTATGCATACAAATTTGAGATAATCAAGGGAAGTCACTCGTAAGTTAAGGTGATTTGATGGACGCCATATTTTGTGTCAGAACGGCATGCGATATATTGCTTCAATCGGTTCCATTTTTTCAGCTACTCGTCATTTTTCTCCAATTTTGAGATCGCAATTCGGTTGTCAGGAGACTAAAGCACTCACTTACCAATTTTAACAAAGAAATTCAACATAATAAAGGCGTGGTTTTTTTAGAGAGAAAATATCGCATTCGAGTGCAGTTTCGATGTCAGTATCGAATGCAATGTTTTCTCTCTAAAAAACCACGCCTTTATTAAGTTGGATTTCTTTGTTAAAATTGGTGAGTGCTTAAGTCTCCTGACAACAGAATTGCGATCTCAAAATGGGCCTGTTGCAATTTTTTGCTAGGGCAGAATGAAGAGTTGTTTCCTATAGATATTGCCTCAAAAATCACGATGAGCGCATCGGCAAAGTCTGAAATGCACTCATAAATTCACAATCTGCGTAAGAAATTTGCGTTATTTTGAGCTTCCCGCTTCAAAAACGATACTACTGCACAGGTGAACATTTTGTTAGAGGAGTCGCTCCATCGTCGGCAATATTCATCATGGCCGACGCTTGCGCAGTTCCTTGCCTAATTCGAGGAGAGTTCAAGGTCAATTAAGGCGGGCGAGGAAAATATGAACATAAACACGCCGATTGTTATCTGGTTTAATCCTGTTCAGGTGTTATCTCGTCCCATCACATGTGTTTTGGCGAACTGGCGTCGGCCATGATGAGTATTGCCGCCAATGGAACGACTCCTCTAACAAAATATTCACCTGTGCCGTAGTATCGTTTTCAAAGCGGGAAGCTCAAAAAACCGCAAATTTCTTACGCAGATTGTGAAGTTATGAGTGCATTTCAGACTTTGCCGATACGCTCATCGTGATTTTTGAGGCATTATCTGTAAGAAACAACTCTTAGTTTTGCTCTAGCAAAAGTTTGCAACAGGCCCATTGGAGAAAAATGACGAGTAGCTGAAAAAATGGAGCCAATTGATGCGATATATCGCATGCCGTTCTGACACAAAATATGGCGTCCATCAAATCACCTTAATAATCAAAGAAAGCATGCGCGTTTCAGGGTTGAGTCAATTTCTCATTGAGGATGGTCCAGAGCCCAAGACATGTCTGCTATTTTCAGACATCTACAAGCAAGTGAGTTTTTTAACTGTATTTTCCGAAGAAAATTCATTTACATCCTTTTAGAATTTTAAATTTTCAAACATAGAAAATTAAATTTCTTCAAGTTTGAAACTTTGGGATGAAAATGGCGCACTCAAGATCCTCTGAACGTTTTTGATTAAAAGAGAAGAATTCAATTAAAGTTGGTTTGATGTCACACTATTAACCAAAAACTGATGTGAGGATCTTTGCAAATGGCTTTTAGAATCTAATGCCGGCAAACTATTTATGATAAGTCTGATCGAGAAAAAAACGTGTGAGCAAACTTTATACATATACATACTCTAGAGGGCTGAAAGACTGCATTTCTCAGTGTTTCTCAAGAGGAAAATAATTCAAAATACTATTTTAAACCTGAGAAATTCAACATAAAACAAATAGAGCTAGATTTCATATCCAAGGGAAGATAAAATTACTTTCAGAATGAGAAAAAAATACTTAATTACTTGTCAACTTTGAGCAGATCATGAGCACTGAGTTGAGGAGGTGTGTATAGGACAAGAGCATTGGGTGCCATAGGATCATGCAATGGCCTTCGAACACCATCTCGCCTCACTCCCAAAGCCCTGCTACCAATTCCACCTTGATAATTCAGTATTGGTACCTTGAACGGCTTTGTTAAGATCTGCCGGATGAGGGCTTCCTGTAACATAAAAAGAAAAGAGAATAATTAATAATCAATATTACAAGGACTGACCGTGTAGCAATTAAGAGAACAGCTACAATGCTCTGCCTCAAATAGTGCAAGTACTCTACAGATACTGAAACGGTTTATTTCATTATCATTTCACAGGAAAAGCGATTTCCAAATTTCAGAGTTTAAGTTACTTCACATTATCTGCAATAAATTGATAGATGAGAGAGCCTGTTTTAAATAACTTGTCCCCTCCGAATTTATATGTAGAATTGGGAATTTGCTACCATTCCGCATGTACCGCGAAAAAGGACAAGTTATCTGAAACAGGCTTAATTCTATTTACTCCTAGGGCATGGGTTATTTCATGCTAATTTTCATCCGGAAGACTGAAAAAGATGTAACACAAAAATAGCAGGAGACACAATTTGTTAGAGGTGTCCAGTATCCAGGGGCGGGCCGCAGGGCTCCAAACTATATAAGTGGGCCCCACATCGCTGTGCATTTGGAGCAAGACTACCACAGTACACAATTATGGTTGTTGTTCTATGAGCAGATGAACGGCTAGAAAATACGGCAAGAACACTCAAATTATTTAAGGAGTGCACATTTTAAGGTTGTCCTTTAAAGCTTGGATTCCAATGGATGTGACAGCTTTCAAGTGATGTAAAGCAGTTTTAGCAATTTGACTGAAAAGATGCACATGTTTCAATAAAATTGAGACAGAATCACAGTAACTACATTCAAAAGAGAACCCTCAGGTAATGTGTTACATTTGGAATGTTTACATGAGGACCACTGAGGTGGCACTTCAGCGTTTTCACGAAAGCACGCTGTTATGTGCAATTAAGACGAAGATCTAAGTGAGTTAGAAGGTGACCTTGTACAGGCGAAAAAGTTTTGATAAGCGTTTCTTACATGGTTGGAGAGGGATTCAGCTGTAATGGGTGCAGGCGGTTTTTCTATGACAGTCTCTGGTTCTACGGATTTTTTTGATGAACTGAGTATTCGGCCTCTTTTTGATCGTTTGGCATTTTCCGCTTCTTCCTCGCCATTCAGCCTTTTCAGCCTGCTGGGGGCCAAACTGCGTCGCTAAAAGAAAGATCATCAAAAATTAAAACCTGTTCAGCTTAAGTGAAAGAAAAGAAAACAAGAGAAAGGAGTAAAACTGAACTTTTGTGATCGACAAACAGTACCATCTTTCTGTGCTACTGATTTCATTAAACGAAATCGTACTGCTAAAAATTTTGATAGCTTTGAAGGTTTGAATGAAACAGCTAACGAGGGTGAAAAAGACCGCTTCTTACCCTCCATCAATCAACTGCTATGGCAACGGAAAAACATGGATCTTGGTTGCCGTGCAATTTTACAAACTTCATGCTGCAGTGTTGAGGGCAAGACACATAAACCATTTCAATTTGACAAAAGTTCAATCCATAAATTTTTTATTTCATGAAATTCAAAATTGTTCAAATCAAGAATATTCTTGAATTGACTATCGTACCATCATTCTCGAAAAAAGGTTAGAGGAACTTTATAAAACCCTTGAAAATCAAAAGTTTTACTCAGATGTTGGCAACAATGCTGAAAAATTGAAGACTTTTCTGTTCTTTTGCTTCATCCCTATTCCCTAAAGTTTATTTTCTTATGCAGATCACTGCTTGCCTGTCTGTAACATCGCAGTCCGACAGACACAATGCATGGGAAAAGAACTCCGAAATTCACCTTACATCATCTACTCCATTAAAGACAGTTGTCCGAAGGACTGAATGACAAATCTCTTCCAATTGTATCATTAATTGCTATTTAATTCCCTTCGCAGTCAAAACCAAAAAAAAAAAAATAAGTGCGGTAAAGATACGTAGATGTGGTGGTGCTTAGTTAGATCTTGGTCTACTGATAGTCAAACTCAGAAAATGCTCTTGCTTATCTCTTGAATGTACAAAATAACATTTAATTTTGTCAACTGTAAAAGACTGAAAACCTGCCGAGGTAATGTAGTCATTGCTGATTCCCCCAAATTTTTGGCAAGGATATAAAGGTGGTGATCAGAGGGAGGCTAATTTGATGTACTCTGGATTGATGTTGATACATACCACAGACCTTGGAAATCATTTCAAAGATTTGGTTTACTTGCAAAGTAATAAAATTGCTGAATACCTACCATTTTGTGGTGCAAATGGAAAAATAGGGGTGCAAAAGACAGGGTATAAAGGCGATCTATCAACTAGTTGAGAGTGGCTGTTTGTTTTCGCTATTGACTGGGTAGACTGAGTTATGGCACGTAAAGATTAAGAATTCCATTGAAAAATGGCACTGATCACAGATAAACCTATTAAATATATGGACAAATTATTCAGAAAACACAGAAAATTGGTGATTAAAAAATGAGGTTTCGGTGTTCACAATTTTACATTGTAAACTTAACCTTAAAATAAGCTGAATTTTGGCGCGAAAATACTTTCCTGCTTTCCATGTTTGACAACACTCTCACACTTTTTTCACTACGTTCATAACACCGTGGAATGGTGTAATATTCCTTTGATGATGAAAGAAATTACAATAAAAGGCATCAGATATTAATTATACCATGAGATATTGAAATATAGCACCCTATTCATAATTGTGGGATCTAAAACGTCGATTGTAGGCGGTGGATGTTTCATCACGTGTTGGTACTAATGGTAAGTTCGAGAGGTTCAAAAAAAATACCGCCAAAAACAAAAAAGCGCGCAAGAGCCGACGCATAGGGAGAATGGGAATCGAGGAATATTCGTCTTTCTCTGATTAAGCATGCGATTTCCGAACTAATGAATAAACATCGGAGAAATGGTGAAAATAATCTAGTGTTAACATTATAATTCGAATAAGCCGTCGTGAGAAGTTCCCATTATGAGCCCTCGGTTGGAATGAAATTCTATCAGTTTCCCACCGTTACGCACAGATTCTCTCCCACTGCGCTAAATTAACTCAAAGTGTAAAGGAAAACGGACTTTTATGGGGGGGGGGGGATTCACAATACCATGAAAGAAATAGACTATTTCTTTCATGAATACTCACAGAATTTTTACCTCAAGTCAAGTTCCATGACTAGAAGATTATTTGTCCGAGAAATTTCATTCAATAACCATTTTGCTAGATGTTGGTTTCTTCCCTACAAGTTCCTCCTCTCCTTCCTGAGGCCAACTATGAAAAGAACTTTCAATAAGAAGAGGGAAGCAAACTTTTTGCAGAATTCGAATCGACTCGCAAAATTGAGGGTAAGCTCATATGAGTTCAAAAATACTATTACTGAGGGTAATGTCATCATTTTTGATGCAGTTGATGGCAAATTGAAAGATTCTTTGAAAAGAGACAAAGATTTGGAATGTCACAATTCAAATAGATTCATTGTTATAGACACTTGCCAAAATTTCTCTTTACATATATCTTTCCACACAAAAATGAAATCATTTTTTTCAAAAAGTAAAATGTGACACGAGATTTTCAAAGTCGCAGACCGAGATGTGTGATTTAGTGTTTATGCCTATCATCGATTTTCATTATTATCAAGAGAATCTACTCTACATAGCAAAGGGTGGCAAAGTTGACAGAAGATTTTTTTTTTTGACAGAAGATCCTTGGAGGTCGTGGGCCTTACGGACAGCCTTGGATCACTACAGTAACCTATCAAAATTCCAGATTTTACATAATTTAGAGATACTGCCTACGAAAAGGGAAAATGGAGAAAATAAAATGATAACTGGATAATTTTTAAAATTTGGGTCTCAAATCAAACTGAGACCAAGCTAGGCCATCTAGAAGATGGAATTAGAAGTCGAATCCACAGCTGTTCACTGTAAGAATCTATCAAAGGATCAGATGGATAAAATTTGTATCAAAAATTGAGAATGGAAAAATAATATTCCTTTGAGGAAGAATCTTTGTCAAAAAAAGCATTCTCCCTTGATACCAGAGCCAATGCGCTGCTCTAGATTTTTAACAGTTAAATCTTTCAAGCCTTAGTGAGGAAATGTTATTCAAGTTTTGCTCTTTGCCAATATTGTTAATTCTGTTTTTTATAGTGTATTTTCCATAGGAAATACACTATTATTTATTGTTCTTGTCAGCATTTTTTGAGTACTTAATTTTGGGCCACATCATGTTGCGCAGTGGCCATTGTGATTGTGTCATGAATTTGAAAATATAAAATTTTAAGCACTTCGTACTTCAGGGGCTTAACCATAGATGCAGAAAGTATTTGACCTTCCCATTTTGAAAACCCTTTTTTCCTTGAAACTTTGAAAAACATGACTTTCTTTGCTCTTAATGTACTATTTGCCTCAGTTTAGCAAAAAAGTATGTGATTTTCACCACGGTTTTGCAAAAAAATAATCAAGTTTCAACTTGATTTGGCAGTACAAATGCAATTTTTTTGCTAGCCTACGCTGCCTCTCTATATTATAAATACATTTAGGGGCCTTCCCAAAGTTAAAGCTTGTTTTGGGGCCTTCCCATCTTCACTAGCGCCGTATAGTAACCTGTCGGTTGGGTGGTCAAAAAGTTTCTGCATCCCTGGACGTTACTAGGAACTCCTACAAAAATTTGAAAAAGAAATGCTAGGTAGTATGAATTACTTATGATTTAATTACAAATCTATAATCAATTATAACCAATATATATTATTTTATCATACAATACATTGATAACTAAAATATGACAATAACTGTAATAGTAGTCGTAATAATATAGATGAATTAAAAAATAAATTTGGAGTACCCAGCAGTCACAAAGAGTAAAGTGCTGATGAAGAACAAAGGACCCGATATTGAAGGAATCCGAGCCAATTCAACACCATTGAGAGCAGGCACTCTTCGACGATTGGGTACAGATAACATAAAATTAGAGACAGCCTTAGCCGTGGTTGAAACAAAAACTTAATGCCTTGAAAAATTGAAGAGCAGGGATACTGCTTTAAAATAAATTTGTATTAAAATAAAATGCACAACTAAAACAAGGAAATAAAAGTCGGAGAACAGTACAATAGTACAGCCATATGAAACAGCTTGTTATAGTAGCAACATCACAAGTTCTAAAAGTCACCGTCTATACGCTGGTTCTGTGAGGAAGTAGTTCAAACTATCGCTAGATGCAAGTGCATCGTTGAAATTGATTAAGCAAACGCTGATTTCATTGAAAGGGCAATATCAGACAAAATTTCTATGAGGGTTTTCCTCGCAAAGCTGATTAGCCGTAAAACTTCCGTTCTCCAAGAAAAATTTTTGACCCATTATGTTTGAGAGTTATACCTTGGCAATGGACTCTCCTTTATGTCAAATCTGGGAAACGATAAATATTTGTTTCTTAAGGATAAAATTCATGAGCATTTTAGTATTTAACCAAGAAAACTGAATAAAAATGAAATTCACATATCTTTAAAGAAAAACATTGTTCTATGATTCATCGGTCTATTTTTGCACTTCGCTAATACGTCAATCAGTAGAGCGAAGCAGAGAGAAAATTTACATACACCAACTTCTTAAAAAATATGCCTGGCTATAAAAGCTTAAAAAAGCCCCTGACGGCTAGTTGCAAATAGAGTACTTCAATTTCTGAAAGACTGCTTAAAAATACTGCTTTCGTAATTGCTTACTTCATCATTCCGCTTCGTTAGATCAGCCTAATAAAACCTCGCGAGTTCCTAGCAGAAATTTCTGCCACAAAAATTAATCGAATGATTGAAGGAAAGATAAAAACAATTCTTAATCCGAAAAAAAAAGAAGAAAAAATTCTCTAGGTACCATCAATAACAAATTTACACTTATAAGCGACAAGCATGCAGCCTCAATAATTGAGACGTAATTTTTCTAAACTTTCCTTTCTTTGTACTATTTTTGGAAAGTAGACCTAAAGTTCTCACCTCGTATCAAACTCCTTTCAAAGGCCTTTCATGGGCCTCTCTCTCTTTTTATAAGCCTTTGATTTAACTACCCAAAATCTTTACCAAAATGCTCTCAGAAGCTACAAGCAGAGGATAAACAGGCAGGTAGGCTGAGTTAATGATTAAATTCTCACATCAGACTTAAAATTCTATGGTGGAACTTCACTCATCCTTTATCGTGTCTAAAGGGCTTCTTCAGAGATGATTCCTTTCTACAGTTTTCACACTTTTGATTGTTCAAACAATGAATTTTAAGGACCTCCAGATTAAAGGAAAAAGCTACGATAGTAAAAAGCAAAAAAAGATGGAAATTAAAAATTTAATAACTCTCAGAGAATCTTAAAACCAAAAATGACTATCAAAATAATAACAGGGATCACCAAGGCAAGATTGAATTGCACTGTATCTTTTCAATCATTTAAGGACTTAAAAAAAAATTATTTTTTATGGATACTTCTGTATGTACTCATGCTGATATTATTTGGTAAATAAATTTTTAGACTGTTTCAGTGTGGTTAAAGTTTCAGCACAGTTTTCTACCGGAAAAAGAGATAAGTATTTCAACAAGATACCTTCCTAGAATAAAATAATCAGTTTCCAGTAATCCGTTGAATAATAACTTTCCTGACTCAAAAATTAAACAAGGCATTTGAATAAGGAGGAGAGCTACACAACAGATCAATGAGATGCTGTAAAGTGTCTCGTTTCTTCGAAGTGGAATAAATTCATTGAATTAATGTATAAAAATAAGAGAATAACATGTAAAAAGTCATTATCACAAAAGGATCATTCAAATTGAGAGGGCGATCTGAAATGGAGACTTGATTTCCTTGATGATGAAAGGATCTTAAATTGAGGATTTTGCCAGCCGTCATCGCTTACTTTCGTCAGCCATTTCAAATCTAGAGCAAACAAAAAACCAAGACCTTAGCTGCATTACAAACTGAGAAGGCAAGAAAAGAAGACTAAGTGGCAACTAAATGATGAGTATGATCTACTGATGAGGTCTAAAAAGACGCAAATTAATATACGCAGATCTCTCAGTGTGACCCCAGTTTGAATTCCAATGCACCTGCCTGAGCTAAACACTCTTCACCCTTAATCTTTCACTGATACTCATCAGAGTTCATACTTTTGAATATAATGAAATCTTTGGCCTTGATTTCCCCGCATGATATTGTGGATCCATTACTATTATACCATCCTCTTACAAACTGATGAGGAAAGGGTGTCTGATGTTGAGCTGCACACATCATTGACGAGGTCATTCATCAGTTGCCTTTTCCACTTGCAAAATCAAAAATGACACATTCAACAAATTAAGTCTTAATGAGTGACTATTGAGACACAATCGCCATCGCCACCTCCAATTTCTACTCTAAATACGGTCACTACATTACAATGCTCCAGGTGCTCTGAATATTATTTATGTTGTAAAATTAATAAACAACTATAAAAGCAGACATTTATGCCCCTTGATGAAACTTGAAAGAGCTGGAAAGAATCGCTTAAAAATTTTAGATGTGTAGTTCCATCTCCTATTAAATAAGGCCAGGTCCAAAAAGTTAGATAAAATTACAACTCATAGTTACTGATTTTTTGTTTGACTCCACTGTCAAACTTAGAAAGTTCCATTTTTAGTTCTCATGGGGTAAAATTCAATGAGGCTTACCTGTATTAACAATTACAAGCTGCGCCATTATTCGGTTTATTATCTCTATCAAGGATGATATCGCCAGGGAAGTCATTGTAGATCTCTTCCTTTTCGAGAGCAATGGCGCTTTTGGCAATAGTTTCGAAGGCTTGTTCTACGTTGACAGCTTCTTTAGCACTAGTTTCAAAGTAAGGGATGTTGTTCTTTGTTTGGCACCATTTTTGCGCTCGCTTCGTTGAAACCTACAAAAACACAAACAAATTAATACTTAGGTTAGATTACTTGCACAGTATGAAGTGCACAGTGTCAACTGAATTTTGAAAGGCACAAGTTTTTGTCTAAAAATATGAACATTTTTACAGAGCTATGGCACAATCCAGGAATTCCCTTGAGAGTAGGTGTTCCTACATTACACTTGAGCAAAAAAGACGCTCCCCATCTTTAAAAAGCTTAAAACAGCTTTTTTGATTAAATGACTAGAAAGAAGAGGCTTCAGATTGTAGTATCGATACGAACATTTTCATCGACCTGGGATTTAGAGGCTTATAATATTATAAGAAGTGACGAACCATAGTATCATCATTTACAATCCAATGTAGGTAAATAACATGGGTTACATGGGTGCCGCGCAACCTGTGCTCACACGAAACTCTCACTGAATGAAAAGTTTGAGCCATTGAACGAAGACAGTGATGAAGAGTGTTCTAAATTAATCGGTTCAAAGTGTGTAAATATTTCACTAGAGCGATCATAATTGAGCAGTCACATTTATGAGACACAAGCAACTAAAAATCTAGGCAGAAGACATCAATAGCCAATTTTGTCTTTTTCTTGCCCCCAGTATGACCATTTTGAACCCCCTTAAATGTCAGAAATTAAAAAGTATCCTGTGGTACACAGGTGTGAACATAAAAGGTCTCCTAGCCTAATTAATTAGGCTTAATAAAGGGGAAAATTTTTTTATTATTTGATTGGTAAAACAGAAAACACCCACAAAACAGATTTCAGGTTAGGCTTGAGGTATACATACAGAGGAATTTGTTATCAATAATTAAAAACGCTGGAATTGAATTAATAGGAGAAAATTTGAAAAAAAGGAGAGGGGGGGAGACTCTCATTAAAATGAATGAAAGTTGTGAATGACACCATTTAGCTCATTATCGAATTTGTCCTCTTATCAAATTATTCTTATCAGTTGAAGGGGGCCGCATCTCAAAGCCCAGCACAATGTTTTCTGCATTTGAATCAATCTTGGGGGAATCAATGTTAAATCAGTTCTCACAAGTTATTGTTTTCTAAAAATTCTGAGAGTACTCTTTAAAGTTTGATATAAAAATTAAGAAAAGCCTGGCAGAGGTATTCGTGAGGAGGGCGCAAAACCTTGGAGGAGGGGGAGGGAGCTAACAGATTCAATGGTATACCTAAGTAAATTACTATCCTTAAAAGTATCCTTTTAGAATGTATTTGAATAATATTAAATTAAACATGTTGATATTTTATAAACTTTGACGTTTTTAAGATTACAGCTCATAGAGTTGGTCTTTAGACATTTTCAACAAAGTAAGGTAACAGAGACAAACCATGAGTGTTCGTAAAATTTCGAGGATTTTAAGGAAACAAAGTCTAGGAATTAAACAAGTTCATGAAAAAGGTATACGATTAAATGACTGAAGAAATAAGTAATATCTTTAAAATTTCACTCAGAAAAATATAAATGCTAAAGAGAGTGATATCATTATTTATTGTTCAGAATAAATAGTCACTGAAATTGATATCCTGGTGGGGATGCAAGACATCAATCCCAGGGGTGCAGAAAATGTGGAAAACCCCCAAAAATGTGGAAGGAGGGAACATTTTGAGGGGTCATAAGTCGAAAATCAAAGGAAAACGAAAGAAAAACATCATATCTTTTTAGAATGGTGGGAAATTATGAGGAAAACTGATGAGAAATATTTGGAAAGCTCGCTGGCAGGCGCATGAAAATGTGGAAGCTTGGAAGATTCTGCACCCCTGATCAATCCTCTTTTTTATGGTTTGCACTGATCAATGTTGGCTGTTTAGGACTCCTCAGTTTAAGGGGACTCAATGCTTTCAATCAGGGGTGGTGAAACTTCTCCATAATGCGACCAGCGGTTTGCTGTCAGTCATGTAAGAAAATAGGGAGACCCCAGAAGGGGGTTTTGAAAATGAGAAGGCTTTGCACGCTACTATGAAAATTGCATAATTTCCGCAAAATCAAGGTGAAAATTTCGTATAAGTGCAAAACTGCAGTGAATGTTGGGTGTTTTTTTGGTAAGTAAGTTGGGGCAATCTGTGCTGAAAGCGTCAAGCAAAAACACTATTAGGTAGATTCTTTGAAATGCTCAAAAGAGCCAAGATTCCTAAAGAGAGGAGGTCAATTTGAGAGAGAAAAAGAAGGCAATGAACTCTCAGCATCCCTGCTTTTAGATGATCTTTGCAGAAAAAAAAGGTGGAAAAACTTTTAAACTTACTGCTCTGTTTTCTAAATCGATTTTGTTCCCTAGAACTACGAACGGGAAGTTCTCCGTATTCTTTGGTGAAGACTGAATGAGGAATTCATCTCGCCATGCATCTAAGGATGCAAAACTGTTCATTGAAGTTGTATCGAAAACGAGAATACAGCCATCAGCTCCTCGGTAAAATGCCACACCCAACGACTGAAACCTCTCTTGACCAGCTGTGTCCCAAATCTGAAAAGTAAAAATTCTCATTGATCACTTCATGTAAAAGAATCTGAAAAGTAAAAATTCTCATTGATCACTTCATGTAAAAGAATAACCCTCCAAATTGTAAATTTACTTGAAGATTCTACTGAAAGAGGAAGAGAAAATTCACATCCAAACTTCTTTTGAGCTTCTTTTGTAACTAATATCACTCCCCTTATTTCTTGATTGGTGGCACAATATGAAAAAGGTGAAACCTGCAGAATTTACTAACTGAAAATATACTTAGATTCCTTTTTTTCTGCAACATAGCTCAAATTCAGAGCTACTGAATAGAGGATTTTCGACTGCAAATGAAATAAATCTGTGGTCTAATTTGTAAAGCTAAGATGTTGCACTTTAAAAAAAAACCAAGGTTGATACTTAAGAAATTTTTACTTAGAAGTTTAAGTTTGCCATGCACAGGGCTCAAAGTTCTTGAATAAATATCTAACTTCACCCATCTAATTAGCCCAAGGGTGAATTACCTGTAGGTATGAAATTTTTTTGAGCGTAGAAAAAATAAAAAAAAATAGAATAATGGATGGCGAATAGCAGGGTGATTATTTAGATATTACTTGAATGAAACCAGGGTGAAGCCTGTTGAAATTGAATTGAATCCACTAACCTGAAGAGTGACGATTCGATTATCAACCATGACTTCTTTCGTTAGAAAATCAGCTCCGATTGTGGCTTTGTACTGGTTGGAGAATTTTTTGTTGACATACTGGTTCATCAAAGCTGTCTTACCAACACCTGAGTCACCAAGGATGATAATTTTGAGGAGGAGCTTCCTTCTTGATGCCATGATTGCTACAACATAAAAAAGATTATAGTTTATAATATGAAGCAGACTGAGTCATCAGTGAACAATACTGAAACAGTCAGCAACGCAGCAATTATAAACACAAACAGGACTTTACAGAATTGGATTATTAAATAAATTTTAGGCAAACAGTTTGGAGAGCCAGCATTTTTAGAGAAAATTTCATTGGCTTCTTTGTTCCAGGTGCAGGTTTAGGAGTTGTTTGCCTGGGATTGATAAATTTTTTCGCGCCTCAAACTCATTCCCTTTGTTCCCTAATATTATAAACTTTTTGCAGGAAAGCGCAACAATCTTGCTGCATTCTGTCATATCATTATTTGCCATATCCCTTCAAAACGAGAGAAAAAAAACACTAAATAACGTGGCCAGAACAGTATGTAAAAAGGTGGTAAAATAGTGCTGGGTCTGCACTATTTTGCGGGGAAGACAAGGCCGAAATATTTCAATTATAATAAATGAAGAACTGTACTGGCAGATACACAATAGAGCTCAAATTTTTTGACTCCAACTGAGATTTTTTAATTTTTTTAGCCTTAGTGTTTTCCGTGTAAAATGGTGTAAAACCAGTACTTTTTTACCATCTTGTCCTTCAAAAATGTATTAAAATTTAGAGAAACAAAAATTTGATTGATGACTGACTTTCTACAGCCAAGAGCTGTTTTGAGGGCTGTGCTTCTAATGAATTGGGAAAACTAACATTTTTTTCCTTCCTACAGCTGTTTCCTATGATGAACAAGCTGATAAGTAAATTCCATCAACCTAATGTTGTGATCATGAGCCCCTATCTTCATCAGTGTAATTTCATGCTTTTTTGTCATTTATAGGAGAACTGGCTGCGCCTTCTTTTAAAAACATTGTAAATAGAACGATATGTCATTATCGGTTACATTTCTCCTGAACGTGAAATTTATCAGCTTGCTGGCAACGTCTTCCATCATCATTTAATGACTTTGCCAAAATAATAATCTTGAGAGTCTTGATTTTCTCAATATAGAAGTGAAAGATGAAGTTCAGAAAGTAAATAACAAAGCCTTCTTTGTCTGCCTTATCAATGAAGTGAGTCAGGCCTAGGTATACTCCATCTTGGAAGGGGTGAGAAGGGAGTGTAATTGATTCCCTTAGGAGGATTAAGTTCAAAACAGGATTCAAGGATGAACATTTAACAATAATATGATGCTTTGAAGGCAATACATGAAGGTTGGTGATCTGCGGAAAATGATGACCTGCTTCCATGCGTTATCAGATGAAACTGGACACCCTGCAATTAAGATAAAATACCTTGTCCATGAAAATAAGGTGTCGGATAGAGGACCACAGGTAAGTAATTAAAAAGGGATCAAAGAGAGTAGAGAAAATGTGATAAGAAACATCCAGTGACAGTTCCTTGGCGTAAGCAGACGGACCATTTAAAAGTCTGGTTGTGCGAGGAACAAAGAGGATGAAACCGTAATCACTTCAGAAGTTGAAAAGCAAAAAAGTGTTTCCTGTAGACTAATTAGAGTGAGGTTATAGATTTATCATCATATTAATCTGTGATTTACAAAGTAGATAATGAGTAAAACCTCCATTAGGACATTTCGAAGGAATTGATAATGGATGAATCCTTAGCCAGGAAAACCTTGGATTAACAGTACTTATCCTCAGTTAAATAAGATCTAAAAAAACTTGAAAGTTACATTGATTCGACTACCTTTCAAGCCTGAAAGTTCATTCACATAAGAAATTGACTTGAATTCTTCTGAAAATGATCAGTGACAAAAAATTAGGCAAGAGTAAAGGGAGAGCCTTCTGAGCAAGGTTATAAACGAAAAACGCAGAAGTTTTGCTTACCTCAATTGGTTTGAAGTAACACAAACTGAATAACTCTAGTCACACAGTGTGCAGGATTGAAATAATTCACTAAAATATCAGACTTTCACTACAGTCCTGAATCTGAAAGAATTAATCACAGGACTTTACGTGGTCGAGGAGTCTTTCAGAACCCGATAAACAAAGAATGGCTTCATGGGAGAAATGGCGATCAACGAAACGGGCCCGCTCACTCACACACACACAAGGTCGAAAGCTCTGCGCAGCAACTGAACAGCTGATTGCTACATAAAAGCTCTAAAAGTTATTCTCTCCCGCGCAAAGAGAAAAGCGGATGAAAATTTAAACGCTGCCAGCGTTCGGAATAGAAAATGTTGGAGCAATTTTATCCCACATCAAGCTATATATTTCATATATTTGACTTGATTTGATTAATTCAAGAGAAAAGGTATGACGTAACCCTTGTGACTCACTAATATGCAACCACAATGCACTTGATCCCCTTCACCCCTCCCTCCTACGTCATTACTTAAGTGGGACTTTAAGTAATCCGTGTTTGCGCAGTCTGAAAATATAGCACTCCAGCCTCCCATATCAATTCGTTCTACTCTCTAAAAGGCTTAAATCCTTTTCATTGCACTGTGCACTACCGCATGTTACTCCGCGCAACTAATCGAACTCTCAAGCAACATAAATTGCCACCGCGGTTATTGAAGGCGAACTTGACAGGATGAGAGATTCGACGTCCCCTTTTGGCCAAAGAATCACAAGCGCCATGCGACGTTTAAAAATTTCCGCCGCCATTTTATTTTTTTACAGAGACATTTTACAGCGAAGCTCTCCGAAAATTTCACTGAAATATCTTTGTGCTGCCGATATAATTCAGTGAAATTTTCAAACAGATTCAACCAACAATTTCTCTGTAAAAAAATAAAATGGCAGCGGAAATTTTTAAACGTCGCATGGCGCTTGTAATTCTTCGGCCGGAAGGTGACGACATAATTGAAACGTTGGGAGCAGAAAGGGCATTCCTAATTTGTGGCGTTTTAGAATCTCCCGTGCTAATTTTAAGTTTAGAGGGCAAATTATTGGGTGAATTTTCTGAAATTTTACGTTTTCAGCGCTGTAATAATCATGAAGGATATTCAGTAATTACAACAAATTACAATATTTTCTTTCATTACAATGGATGAAACGTTAGCAGAGAATTTGAGACACTGCAACCAGGAAATGTCCTTTCTGCACCTAGTGCTTTGATTACGGAGAGTGGCCAACAGAGTCCCTCAGACCATCCCTTATGCCAAGATTGATCTCGTACCGGATTATAAGTCATGAATCTGGCATTGCAGAGAATATTGGACGTAATAAACCTTTTCTTCTTCCCTAACCGAAGCTAGGGATGAATAAACCAAAAGAGGTTGCTTAGAGAGTATTGAAGAGTGCTCAGAAAAAAGCATTTCTCCATTTTCTGAATTTGTGTAGAAGCATCTTCTTAAACTTGAAATTAAGAGTTAGTGAATGTTCCTTCTGATTTTAAGTACGAAAAATTTCTGTCGCACAGATTATTTAGTATAACACTGAAAAATCAAATATTATTGATTGGACTGAGGAATTTACAGAACCACAATGAGAATTTCTTCTTGGTTGAGATAAGTTACATTACAAAAAAGATCAGTGTAAGATGAGTGCTCGGAAAAAAGGAACACTCTGTGTTTGTAATTGCAAAAACTTCTTCAGTTATCTGTTTGGTTACAGTTGATCAGATTTAATTTTCGTTTCAGCAACTTGATTCTGTAAAATTTCTGCATCTAAGGGTCTCAGGATGAAAAAGTTAGGTGACACTTCTTAGAAGAATTGAGATGTTGTCCATATTGACTAAAACTCATCTCAGGGTTTACTTAGTGAAAAAATAGGACGTTTGAACTAATTCGTTTTTACAGATATTCGAGTTTAAAGTTTCTTCATACCGAAAGCTTCCACGTAATTTTCAGGACGTATTCATGTTCATCTCAAATCACAAAAATTTCATGGAAATTCTTCATTCACAATACCTTATATTTACACGAAAGAAAAAAGATATGTTAATTCTTAAGATAAGAAAATAATTTATTGAAAAGAGAAAGATCCAATTGATTGAAACAGGAGATGACACTAAATTGGCAAAAAAATCATAAGTATCACAATAGTATAAAAAATAAATACTAAATTGGCGCCTAATTGAAAAAAAAAAAAAAAAAAACAAATTAAAACATAACATGGTGAAAATAGTGGCTCATTATGAGTCCATTAAAATCAGAAAAATTCCATTAATAGTTTCAAGACAGAAAAAACTTCAGCCTATTACAATAACAACTGAGGAAATGGCATATGTACTAAATTTAGGCTTATATAAAGTTACGAGCAAAGTAAAAGTTTTCATAGAGGTGCTTTAAAAGATACTAAAGTGTATCCATCTGTAAGCGTCAAACTTCGTGAAACTAAACAGCTCTGTTAATCAAGGATTTCAAAGCTTATGAGAAGAGGTTGCGGAGACTTAACATTAAATCATGCAATTTACAAAAAGGAAAGGCATGATAGAAGAGAAAAACATACGAGATGATAGTGTGCATGTTTCTATTTAAGTATGGCTTCAACAAAAAGTTAATTTCTTTTTCGGTACGGTTATAAAAGGCCTTAAATGAAAAAAAATTATCATTTTATCTTTCAGTGTGTAGATTGAAGGATAATATTAAAAAAAAAAAACAGTACCTCAGATTGCAATGTTGTAAGTCTCTGTTCATAACTTATTCTTTTTTAAGGGAAAACTAGCAAACAATTTCTATTGAAATTTTTCAAATTTTCTTCTCTCATTCCATAAAAATCACACAAAATTTAGAAGAAAACTATTGATTAGTTTTCCTTGAAGAAAATTAAACATAAATGGAAACTTTTAAACGTTGCGATTGAGTTCCATACTTGTTCCATTCAACAATCGATATGTAACTAGAGGAACTTGCGATAAAATGCAAACATAAAAGACCCTACTTTCAAACAAGTACATATGATACAAACAAATCCATGTGTACATTAGAAGAATTCAAGAGAGAAGTACATATACATCAACTACTGCAATTCATAGCCTTGCTCTTCATAAACAAGGATTCTCTTTGAATCCTGGGTATGCTCCGTAGCAGTGGCGTGGCGTACTTTGCGATATATCGATTGATACGCCATTTCAACTCATGGAAAAGTATCGATAAACAGGGTGTTCGCAGCGAACACCTTAATAATCGATTATTTACCACAGTTTCAAATGGGGAAATATCGATAAATCGCAAAGCACGCCACGCCACTGCTCCGTAGGACTAAGCACATTACAATTTAAGTTTTTGATAGTTCAAGACTCCATATTCAACTAGTAATTACTTCTAACATTAGGATGCAAAAAGACTAGCTGTACGAATTAGAGTCTTACTGAGTTCAAAGCTACTAAGGAACATCTACATATTTTGCAAGAAATTGGGAAAATAACATAATCAATCATTCCCAAATCTTAAATAAAAAGTTGAAGCCAAAAAGTAACTGGGCAAAGCCTTTTCAACAACAAGAGTTAGGGCTATTCCTGTCAAATCGGGTCTCAACTGCTAGTTGACGAACTACCAGTTAAAGGTAACTTCCAGTTCGACCTGAAGGAGAGTCTTGTCACTGATTTTCAACCTCTAGTTCCTGAACAAAGACTACTTGCCAAATAGTGCATTAACATGATTTGTTCCCTCATATCCTACATCAGGTTGTTTCTAATGTCTGGGAACCCTTGCCGAAAATTCAATTAGCAGTTGAACGAGAGGATAGAACAACCCTTGCAAAGAGGAGGGTGCGGGTGGCGGGGTCCGCAAACCGAGCCCAGGTAGTTAAATCAGGCTCTTTGTGAACTAGTGAAACGCGAAGAACCGGAACGAATGTTTTGTCTGAAGTCCTAGTTGAAACCTAACAGGCAGAAAAAGCACCAGTTGAAAATCAGCCCGTTAACAGCCTCTCAACCAGTAGTTGTAAATTGACAAGACACACCAACCTCTAGTTGGACCTTAACAGACAGTCAACTACTAGTTAAATGATTTGACAGGAATGGCCCTTAGTCCCTTAAGTTGAGTTTCATACTTCACTGGAGCAGATGCCTACAATCTGCTAAAAATGCCTAATTTAAAATGCTGAGGCGTAATACAGCTCAGTTGGTACATGACAATTTGGGATTAAGAAACTCCTCTCAATCAATCTGATTGGTTTTACAGAAGGATATATTTTCCATTGATGCGTTGTTCTTTTGAAAATGACGATTCGCCTGTTTTAAACATGATTGAAACGTGTCATGCGAGAACCGCCAGTATTCATTTTACCAGTTTGAAATTTTCTGGTGTTGATAATTATTCAAGAGTTGATACTGTCATGATAGTGGTGCAAGGACTTGTTTTGGGATTAAAATAACCCTAAAACGAGTATTAACACCATTTTCATGATTGCATTTATCTCTGAAGAGTATTATCGACCCAAAACAAACTCAAAACTGGAAAAATGGACATTGGCGGTTTTGGTTTGACATAATTCAACTACTTCATGATTTGTACTCTTTAGTTGACTCCTTGATAATGATAAAACTGACCTGTGAACCCAAGCTCCTGTAATTAGGTACATTCTTAATCATCATCGTTGAGTAAATCAAATTTATTTGTCGGTCCCCTTTCTTCTTCACTTGATTCTTCCTCCTCTTCTTCTTCGTCTTCTTCCTCCTCTTCATCTTCCGCTTCTCCGGAATCAGATTCATCGTTGTTCTGACTAGATGCTTGGCTGGTAGTGCCCTCTTTTGGATTTTTAAGTTTTTTGGTTGGAATATTCCAGTCTTCATCATCATCATCTGATAGCAACATCGGCTCTTTGACGTATGGTTGTTCTCCTGTCTGCGCTTGAATCCATCGGACGACTTCTACTTCTGGGTGCCTCTGCCAATGAGCTGTTGAGAAGCATTATGAAAAGAGATAAAAGAGCAATCTTGGTGCATCATACAGCAGTGTTCTTTGGGCGGAAGGGCATACGTATCTCAGAATAATTGGAGAGTTCGACCAAAGAAGGGCGTATTAAAAAATCGCTCTTGGTTTAGAAAATGGATTATAAAACATCAGCGTATCTTTGGAAACATGCAGTCATCTTTAAATGTTGATCTAAGACTCCTATGCGGAATTAAAGGTTAAATTGTGCAAAACCACTCTTTCAAAGCTTCAAGTGAGTTTTTCCTAAAACAAATATTTTTCGAAGAAATCCTTCTACGGGCAAACTCTTCCATTATAGGTCATATTTTGGCACCCTGGCAAAAGTTCTGCACAACTGAACTAATAATCCTCTTCAGGGCCCAAGCCCCAAAATTCAATTTTCGAGAGAAACAGGAAAACTGTGCCATTCAGCAAGCGTTTAATTTTTTGAGCTCGAAAAATGTAAATGTCTGAAGAGTATATATTGAAACTGGGGTTCAAGGATTGAATGCATGCACAATGACACTATTTTCTGATTTGGATTTTGACGCTAGGGCCCTAAAGGAAAATATGGGTTCAATTTTTTTCATCACCCAACTTGCACAGTAGTTACAGTTCAGCTTCCTTGGACTCATGAATCAAGATTAAGTTACGTATTTGCAGAATCCACTGGTAAAACTTGTGGCCTAGAGCTACTTTCTATTTTAGGTCTTGTGGACAGCACAGATCTAGTGGAAGATTTTTAATCCATTTCATTTCTCTGTTCTCACATCAAAACTTCACTTGCTCAGCAAAATTCACCTAGGAAAACTAATCTAAAATTTTACTTCCGGCTTTTAAGAACTATCATAGTCAGCATGTCTTCATTTCCAGTAAGCATACGCAATTTTTTCAACAGCCATAAAAGCTTTTTGACAAAGTTATTATAAAATATGAAATGTTGTAATGAGTAAGGACGTGTCAAAAATTAAGACTAAGTCCAATACTGTGCATCATCTGGCCCTACAGCCATGTTTTTTCTCTCTCAATGCCGGCTCTCTTCGCTCTTTTCTTTCATCGCAAATTTAGAGTGTGTAGACCAGATCATTAGGCACTTAAGAACTAGCCAGTCTATTTCATCTTTCCTTTTATTGAAGCCTTCACCAATAGACTTCAATTGGCCAGTTCTTTGGCCCATTTATTAAGAACTTAGGATAATGTGCTGTTCATGGATTAATTTCTCACGTAATATTAGATTGGGCGATAAATGAAGTAATAAGGCTGTCTATTGGCAGGAGGAACAACAAACTGACTGTAAAAAGAGCGCATGGATAAATCGTTACATACCTTGCCTCTTGAAGTACCCAGGAGGCCTCAAACATAAGCTGATTTCTCCATCTAGACACATTCTCAATAGATAATTAGCTCCTCTGTAGGCATCTGGACGACCAACTCGAGCTGTGTAGAATCCTCTCTTTATCGCAAATGCTGAAAAAATGTAACACAGACCAATGATAAATAACTAAAAAATTCCACATTACTGCAGATAAATCGATTTTTCTATTGAGAAAAGTGTGGGCGAAGCAAAAACTTTAGCTGAAATAATACAGCCTCTTGATACGCTCTTCAAATCATGTCAAATCATATACTGTTTAGTTTTGGCTTATTTTACAATTAAACAGTTGCCTTTTTGCGTTCATTTTTTGAGCTTAGTTTGTTGACTGCCTTAGACTCTGAGTTCTTACAGTACAATATAACGCAAATGTGCCTAACATTTTTAGTGTGAGTAATTGATGCGTTCTCTCAGCACTGCACATCCAATGTTTCAATGCATTTATCCATCAGACCAATGACCGATAGCGCTGTGTGCTTGATCAATTGTACTAGCAGGTACCAGCACAGAACTTACAAAAACTTACATTTGCATGACAAGAAAATTGCAGCAGTAAAAGAACACCTAACGTCAGTCATCGGCAGACAACGAGATTATTACTATCTGACGGGGTCAGAGTGAAAGCTCTAAGATTTTCATTTGAACATCTCTTAAAACCAAATCTACTATGTTGATTAAACCTGCTCTTTTAACTTTAACGACCTGATAAAAGTTTTAGCATCATACCTTCACACACGTCCATTGCAGACCAGTATTCATCTCCATCTGGATGTTGCAGTTTCAATAATTTTACTAGGTCTAATCTTTCTGCTACATACATTACAGCAGTGTAGGGATCTCGAAGCTGAGCGATAGGGTAGCTACCCATGAGTACCTGTTTATAAAAGAAACAGATGGTAAATAAAAAAAAATGATGAAAGGATTGTTCATGGAACAACATTTTGCTATTTATATTTTTTTGACATGATAGATTAAAAAATTTTACCTCATAAAATTCACTTTACATTCGAAGGTAAACCACTGCTATTTTATGCTTCTTTGAGGGTGACAAGTTTGCTTGAATTCCAAATTCCCTGACTTCCATGATTTTTCCATGACTTTCCGATATTTTTTTGACATAATTTTTTACGAAAATACCGTTGGCCAAAGTGCGAAACTGCATACTTCCATTACAATTTTTCAAAATTTGCTTCCCTATTGTATTTTTTGAAGAGAAACAAGGCAAGTTTATAGCTTGAAATTTACACAGAATATTTCGCTGCCAAAAAAAAAATCAAGGAAGTTTTCAAGACATTAAATTGAGTAGTTTTCGAATGAAAATATGAAGTATGACGGGAAGTCGGTACTGTTGCAAATGGCAATATATGGTTTCGCACTTTGGCCATCGATATGCTTTTCACACCAATTTTTAAACAAGAAGCCTGCAAAATAGAGAATAATGAAACGCTTCGGCTTGAAGAGAGAATTTCAAGGTTCTGCAGCAAAATTCCTTGACTTTTTAGGGCTGGGCAAAATGTAATGACTTTTCCAGATTTTCATTGTTCCTTAAAAACTTGTCACCAGGTGTACGGGAGAGTATTGCAATCTCAATCCTTTCACTACAGAAAAAGTGTGCCGCTCTCTAATTGGTCGGCTATCATGGAACCCCAAAATTGGTCCAATGTAAACAAACTCCAGCCCTTCCGCTCCAAGTTTGGCCTAATGTAAACGAACAAGATGATGACAAAGTTCTACAGTGTTTAAAGTACAAAGTTCTAGACGTGATTTTGGATGTGATAGACATTTTTTTACATCCAACTTTCAACATCCGTTGAGTTTGGATCGAACTTTGATGCATATTTTTGCCGAAAATGAAGCTTTGAGTGTGATCATCATTCATTTCTTGACCGATGATACGTGTTCCTCTGGGGAGGGTTTGTTTATATTGGGGCAATTTTGGAGCTCCATGATAGCCTCAAACTGCTGAACCTATCAGCGAGCAGCACAGAGATGGCAATACTCTCCCATATGCAGGTACTCTAGTTTTAATCGACAATTGAGACAATCGACCACAGGAGGTGAATTTATTACTGAATTACTGATACAAACTACAATTGAATCAGGAAAAAGAAAACCGCTAATGTCCATTTTTCCAGTCTTCAGTTTTTTTGAGTCGATAATACTTTTTGGAGTTGGATGCAAACTTGTAAGTGGTGTTAATACTCGTCTCTGGATTACCTTAATCCCAAAACGAGTCCTTTTTTCACTTTTATGGTTGTATCAGCTCTTTAAAAGTATTATCAACCCAAAAAAACTTAAGACTGGAAGAATGGGCAACAGCAGTTTTTGCATGTCCTGATTCAATTAATAAAATAAATAAATCAATTACTGGGCTACCATTAGAGGCAATTTTTTCCCGTCCTGATAATCATAAATATTATTCATGAATCCGTTTCTTCCTCAATTTAAATTATTATTTTGATTTTTAAAAGATACACACCTGCAAGTTCTTGGGTACTTTTGAAGGGAACACTAAACCGGGACAATCACAGAGTCGGACTTGTGGCGTTAGAAAAATGGTCTGGAAATGCTTTGTATGACCAGGCGTCTTCGATACACTCACAACCTGAAAGAAAGCAAAATAATACTTATTCAATTTAACTTTTTGTGGGCTATTGGTTGTATTCAGAAATTAAAAAATGTGACATTTTAAGATTCCAATCTTTCAGGAAAGCGAAAATTCTGTTGCAAAAAAAATTTAGCTTTTTAAAATTCAAAATTAAGATTATGATGGTTGCATTGAATGGTAATTAGAGCATAATTAGAGAAAGACCAGAGGCTTTAATAAAGTCATTGCCTATGCAGATGAGCAGGTGAAATCAACAGGAAAAATCCCCTTGGGGCGATTGTGATATTTAAGGGTGAATTTGGACAGGTTTGTCTCCTTTACCTGGCAAAAAAAACTACTAAGATGTGCCAATCCAAGCATTGAGGAGACTGTATTCTTAGTAACTTTTTTGGCCCTAGTCAGTATACGGTTTCAAAATTGAAAAAAGCCAACAGTTAACCAGAAAGTGCGATTGTGGCTTTTTGAGCACTTCTCAGTGTGAGCAAATTTCGTTTTACTCATTCTCTGAAGTCTGGAATAACCCACCTTTCAAAATAATCAGAGATAGCTTCCCTGTATAATTCATCGTAATCTTCATGGACAAAATTTCAATTAAAAGGTTGGTATGAATAGTTGACCGTTTGGAACAGTTTCCATCTCGGTGACACGATAAGTTTTAATGTTGTTTCATTTTTCATGGTATCTTGGCAGATGGAAGTTGAAAATCCCTTTAGTGATACAAAATGAAGAGCAACTTACCTTCTTACCCATGATGGCATTCATAAGTGATGATTTACCGACATTTGGCTGACCAATGCATCCTATCGTCAATACACCTTCTTTGTATTTAACATGTTCGTGGAAGCTTGTGTCCACTTTTTTCAACTGAAAAAATTATTGAATACATACTTTAGAATATGATGCACTATCAGTAATGGATCAGAATGGATTAAAGTAGAAGTAAATACTTGTTACTCTTTCATGACCAGGCTAGATTCCACATGCAGTTGCCCAAGGAGGTAGATCGGTTAACATACAAACAAATAGGAGCGCATTTTGTTGGATAAAAGCTACAGAGAGTTTAGATCCTCTGTGACAGATAGATTTACAAATATGAACATTTCTGAATGAAGTTGTTGAGTCATGGCGGAAATGCTGCGGGGAGGATACAGTTTCGCTGAATGCAGATGCTGCTTTCATGGTAATAAAAAGGTTGAGATACCCTAATTTATTAAAAATGCTTCTTAAACTTCAAACGTAAGTTCCGAGATCACTGTAAGAAATTTCTACTTAAGTCAAAAAGTTCAAAAGAAAAATAGAAAAGAACTTGATATAATTATTATTATGATAAATATATTATTTAATGGAAATATAGTCCATAAAATAATGCATAGTATTAAAACTTGAATAATTACAGATAAGGAGGAGAAACCTACTTACATCAATTGTTTCTTCAACTTCGACACCTTCCACTTCATATTCAAGTTCCATTTCCTCTGATATTTTCTTTTGCCAGGAGCTGAGATCAACTGAAATAAAAACAAAGAGAAGAAAAAAATTAGAAAAAATTCAATTTTTTAATAGCAGGACAAATTAGGATTCCTTAAAAATACAAAAAAAAAACTTTCTAGCTCTTGAAGGGGTGCTTGAAAAAACTGCCTGGTTAAACTTTTTATGTGACGATTAATTTTGGATCTTGCTAGCTTTTGTCAGCCTTTAAGGTTTGAGAACTTTTTTTATTACTTATGGGTGGCCTTCGGAGATCACAACAGGACGGAAAGAGTGAAAATTTAACAGTTCGAGTGATAATTGTAACTCAGAGGACAAATCCTTATATTCCCAGTCACAATCCAATTCTGGCACTCTTGATAGGGGAAGATCCCTTAGATCGCATGAAAATCTAGTGGCAAATGGGAGAATACAATAAATATTTTATACTATTAAAAACTAAGCTTCGATAAGAGGAAAGAAAAAGTTTAATACACAAATGTACAGATTTGTATGAGCTCTTACATAAAGGATACTGCACACAATACTGAAAAATTTGGCGCCAAATAAATTTTAGAAGTTTTTTTAATGATATTCCTTGTGACCTCTTGATCCAGATGAGCTTTTCAAATCAATTTTTCTATGTGCCAATCTCGAGAAAATCTGGTCAGAAAAGTGGATTTATCGGTAGGTAATTTAACTCTTGTCATCATGCAAAATAGCATAGTCGATCAGTCGAGGACGGAGAACCCTTTGTTTTGAACTGGGCTGGCGTGTCATCTTACCTCACTTACTTTATTTCTTTTTCGCCCGATGAATATTTCGGTTGTCACTATTTAAATGATGGCCATTTTGGCTTCAGCAGAAGCCATCATCAGGTATTTATTAAAAAACTAACAACGAAAACAAAAACAAAAACTGAAGCTAAAAACTGAAGTTAAAAATTCTGCTTATTATCGCTGGCGACGCGTCGCGATACTCGGAATTTTTAACTTCAGTTTTTAGCTTCGGTTTTTGTTTTTGTTTTCGTTGTTAGTTTTTTAATAAATACCTGATGATGGTTTCCGCTGAAGCTGAAATGACCATCGTTTAAATAGTGACAACAGAAATATTCATCAGGCGAAAAAGAAATAAAGTAAGTGACCATAGTTCCTGATAAAGAAAACGAAGAAGTAGTCATCTTACCTCCTTGACTAGCACTGGACGGGGCAAGAGGAGCTTGCTTCTTGCCAAGTTCATCTGCATTTTTTCACTTCAAAATGGATTAAAACGGCTGGACAATGTCCTTCTGAAGCCCGATTTTCTCAAGACTAGCGCATTTAAAGTACGATCATTTGAAAAGCTCCTCTCACTCAGGAGATCATAAGGAAAACTATGATAAAAAATCTTCAAATTTACCCAGCGCTTTATTTCTTGGTATTGTGTGCGTATTCTTTCACAGGTTTTTGTGATCTCTGGCATAAATTTAAACCAGAGAAGGAAGACGGTTCTAGACTCTTTACGATCTATCTTACCTTCATCTTGAACAATTTCTTTACAGGCTTCGTATAATTTCTGCGCTCCTTCAGCTGCCATCCTTAATTTGCCTCTTCGCTTTCTTTTTTGAAGGCCTCCTGGAAAAATAATAAAAATGGGCATGAGAAAATACATTCACTATGAAGAGAATGAAGCTAAGAGCATGAGTTTTTATCAACTTCATACAAAGGCTCTGAGCATGAGTATTTGTATTTTGGATGACCACTTATTACCAGGTTCCGAGATTTGGACTTAATTCTGTTGCACTTATTTAAGTACAACGAACTCAAGCATCACAAAGACCTACTTTTGACACACTTAGGTTTAATATCTAAAATACATCACATGGAGTCCCCAAGCACCTGGTCCTGGCGGGCCTTTAGTTCAGGATAGTGCAAAAAAGTCACATAGTTAAATATAATCAGCTGTTGCACAATTTCTTTTAAAGTTATTTTCAAAAAGTACATAAAAAATTTAACCCAATTTTAGTTGAAGAAACGACTTTCATAGTCGCCGAAAATCTAACTCCACTTCGAATAGAAAAATATTGTGCCAACAGATTTTGTAATTATAGCATGAATGAGTAGAAAAAAAAAACCAGCCAAAAGGTTAGGTATTGAAATTTATTTTTCCAGAGGCCTTTCAGGCATTACGCCCATCAACAGTTGGCAAATTAACTACAACAGCATTCTACATACATAAAAGGATATAAAAGTATGATTATCATGCATATAACATTAAGAGTTAGATGTACGGTGTTTGCACTTGAGTTTCCTTCTATTTGCTTTGACGCATGCCTTAGAGAATGCTTTTGTAGTTATTCAGCCATTGATGGTGGGCTTAATATTTGAGGGGCTTCAAGCAAAATAAAGTTTAATACACAACACCTTTCCTCTAGTCTTTTTCAACTCATTCATACCAAACTCTTTACTGCTGTTAGCTTAGTATTTCTACAATATTCCAGTAGAGTTTGTAATGTCAAATGAATTGTCATAAGCGTTTCACCCGCATTTTTTTATTTACTTCCTGGTCATAACTTTGCAAACTGCATTCTCAATATCTACCATTCAGATTAATATTTTCAGAAAAGATTGAATGAGAATATCATGTGAACACATACGCATATTATGCTATGAAAATATTAGATTGAATTCACGGTTGTTGAAATCGTGAATTGTCGTTTCATACTACATCACTAAAATTAGGCCAATGAGAAACATTTCTTGCGTTAGAGGTGTCGTCACATAAGTTGACATTCACTTACTTCCAATTTGTAAGTGTTTTCATGTCACTACTATCCACATGAACACATTGGACTCTTGCAGAAGTGAGAACACAAGCTTGGATAAGTTTTTGGATACTTTCAAAACTTGTAACACTTTAATTTTTAGCCACACAGAAATCACAACCACACAAAAGTTGCGGATCATAACTGAAAAGTAGTTTTTCTACAATACGATCATGAGACCGATGTTTTAAAGGTGAAAAGTAGTGAACGACCGCCTGTACAGAGGCCTATATTCATTGTCTGCGTCTGCAAACCGAAAGTGCCGAAAGTAAACAAAATCAACTTACTTGACGACACCTTTAAAATACATTCAATCCCCTTTTTCATTCCGTTAAAGCACCTATTCAGAGTGCCTACAAGGTCAGAAATGACTTGTTTGCTGAAATTTATCCACAAACACCTACTTGTAACGCAATTTTTACATCATGCAACAGCTCCATTCTACTACAAAACATTACTTTGAAGTGGTTGAGGATGCTAGTCTCTTACCTTTTTTCTCATTGGTATTTCCTCTTAGATTGTAAGTTGGAAAAGATGTAAAGTGGAGAATGGTGAGCTCTGGGAACTTAGTGTGTAAATAGTCTTTCCATGCGACGACCAGAGGAGCAGGCGCAAGATCAACTTTATTTAAAACAAGGATCATCTGCTTGTTCAGCTTAGCCGTTACAAAATGGTACAATGATGGTGGGAACATCAAGGCTGGGTACCGAATGTCTACGATGACAAGGACAATATCAGACATTTCCAGTACTCGCCAGAGCTGTCTCCAGGTCTCCAAATTCAATTCAAAGTAACTCAATTCCTTCCAGTCAAAATTTTTCTGGATCTCTTGAATGTATTCCTGAAAAGAAAGTGAAGAAAAATGAAGAAACTTCAATGCTTTGAAAAAATTGGCTAATTTAAGAGAGCAAAATATCTTTTTTTTTCCCACCTTTTTTTGGTGAAAGATTGTCATTTTCTACAAACAACAGAAAATTTTACAAGAGATGGCGAAAAGGGAAAAGATTTCCATTTAGAAAATCATCTTTTCCTTGTCGATGTTTCAATATTGAACAAGAATCAATTGATCATGATCAGTTCATGTCCTGCACAGATTAAAGATTTGGACATCAGAGATTTATTTAGAAATTTAGTACATGATTGATTTATAAAAATTTACTAATTGATTGATCAATTATTAATCTAAAAATAATTCATGCTGCTATTAAAAAGTGCAATCAAGCTTAGTTGGCATTGGTTTGCTCCGCAATTTTTTTTTCATATTTTGTAAAGTGTAATTTATTTTACCAGGCGATCAAGTTTTTAGAAGAATTAAGTGCTCAATTTATCAAGAACAAAGTAATGAATCCGTAATCGGAAGGAACCGATTGAAAAATCATTGGAACATCTCTACTTCTACTGTTACGGAGTTTCAGAATTAATTTGACTGAATATCATCAGCTTCTATGTATTGAGTTTTCATGTTATTTTTTTTTGTACTACAATTAGCCCTCAAGGGCTAATCCCCGTCAATTCCTACCTACCTTCCCTACTGTCCTTAATAAATCTGTTTTATAGACCAAATTTCTTCCGCATATAACACCTGTATTATATGTATTTATAATAAAATGAAGGGTGTCAAAAATGAAGGGATTCAGCAACATTCTTTAAAAGCATGAACACAAAAGCTTACTTCAGGCCTTGTTATTGGATTTTCGAGTTCATGGGCTTCCATGCAATGTTTAAACTTGGACTCATTTTTATTGGAATTACAAGGATAAGTACATCACTTCACTCCTTTGATCAAGATACCCCTTAAGTATGGAAAATTAGCTTACAGTAAAATATCGATGCTCTCTGGCGTCCAGCTCCTCTCGTGACATGTTGAAATTCCATGGCGGTCTTTTGGGAAACTCTAGCCCAGGAACAAAGAAATCATCAATGTCCACTTCTAGATCTGTTTCAGGAGCTGGAGTTAGTGTGGTGTTACACTTTTGCCTTCGGGCTTGTATTTCTTCACGAGTTTCTCGATGGAACTGTAAGACATACCTGCAATGAAGCACAAGGCTATTTAGATAAACTGAAAAGGGGACCAACTGAATAAAAAATTAACGCTGGATCTTTCGGAAAATTAATTCAGTTAACTTCTTTGATAAAATTACAAAATGACGTACATCCGTTTACAACATATCAGACTCCCTGTCATACTTGATTTTTTTTTCTTCTGTAAACTAATCAATGTAATTTTTTGAAAAATTTCTTTGTTTTTCCTCTCTCTTTCAGGAATCTTCTGTGTAGAATTTAAGCCATAAAGTTGGCTCTTCTCTTTAAATAATCAAATATGAGCGGAAATTTTGAGACATCGCAATGGAGATATGTGGTTTTGCACTTGGGCTATCAATTAGTACCTTGAAAAGAAATGCAAGATGAATGAGAGAAGGCTGAAGGACACCACATACATATAAAAAAATTGGATGTTTCACATAGACTATTGAAACGATGGAATCTAGCTCACACGCACAATGATAAACCAAAATATATACCGGTTGGGATTTGATCGGGCGCCTGATTTGGTTGGCTGTTCATTAATTTTAATAACGTTTGTGATGTCATCTGCTGCATCACGACTTTCCTTGCCTGCTTCATTTCTTTTCTTAGCTGGAAAATGAAACAAAGATCTATGTAAATAGAGAGGAAAAAAGGAACTTACAATGCCGCTTGACAGAACAGTCTCTCCTCAGGTAGCAAGAAAAATTATGTAGATGAATAAAGTGCCTCTTTCAACATGACAGTATGTAGGCGCCCCGCAAAAAGTGAGTGCATAAACATTTTCTCAGCACTAATGCACGGATATACATTGCAGCAGTGTTAGAGCAACTTTTGGTGACATCGTTTTCGGCAGTTGATAGGTGGGTTATGAGGATCATTAATGAGTAATTAAGCGTATCCCAGATGGAGCTATGCTCCCTTTCTTTGTGATCGATCAGATATTGTCTGGAAATGGCTACTGCCTCTCATGGTATTGGGGGTTGAATTTATAAACCTCCATTTATACAGTAAGGTCTCCTCAATGTATGAGCGGTGCATCGTAACGTAGATGGTCGCAACGGAATTGGTGACTACAAATTCCGCCCTGCCCACTGATGGGTTCGTGCAATCAATGTTACATCACTTGCAGAGTAGACAATAAATAACGTGAAAAACATCAGTTTTTAGAAAACAAGAGGATCAAGTGATAGATTGCAGGTTTGAAAGGAAGAATCAATGAGACATAGTTTTTATTACCATGAGAATCATCATCCCTCCAGATCGCTGACACCTTCTTGTTCTGTCTTTTGTCTTTGAGCTGTTCCCTCTTCTGCTTGCCACTGAAAGGAACTTTTCTCCTGCCTTGCGGCATGTTTATCACTTAAAATGAACACTGGGGAGAAAAATTATTACAAAAATACCGAAAATCAATCCAATTTATAAGAATATCAAACGCAACGAGCAACGACAAAACCACGTTACGATTTTTCTAGAAGTTATCGTCCGTTTCAGGTTAGTTCCAGAGTTGTCAAGTATGTAAAATATTCATATCCGCATTCCACGCATAAAAAAGATACTTGACATCAATGTTCAATATTCCAAATCCAAACATCGATAAGAGGTTATGTTGTGGAGTTGTGCTAACGCAACGCTACCTCATCTTTAAATTTCAGAAATGTCTTCGTATAAATACTTAAAACAAGTGAGTAACATTTTTTTTATGTATCAAGGACACCTGAGGATACTTATCCTAAGCCTGATGATATTTTTGAGGCTTTGTGCCGCTTTTTTAACTGTTTTTGCCCAGATTAGATGGTAACCTTCAATCGACTGATCGACTGGATATCTTTCGCCTTTCTTTTATAGCTAATTCTGTCCGCACTAGCAGCATGTGGTGCCAAGCGTTAAATTCAAGTAAACAGCTCCTCTGCAATTATGTAAAGTATCTATACTACAGTCAATAATTGAATCGACTCATGTGAAAATGTCCGTCGTCCAATACCGAGTTTCGTAACTGCAGGGGTTTCTTTTGCCCCACGACACTAATGAACAAGATCGATCTCTTTTGTAAATGTTTAATTATACTAAGGGTATTATTTATAAAATCGTTCTACATTCCTAATGCCTTAAACCATCTTGCATCTTTAAGTTACATCAAAATCGTCCACTCAAATTTGAAACACTGTATTAGACATCGGACGTTTTCGCATCCGCCAATTCAATTGTCATCATCAAATTAAGGAGCCTCCACTTAATAATTGCTGTATTTACTGAGAAAATAAGGGCAAAAAGTCTTGATCTTGTAAACAAAGTGCACTTAATTTTCAAGAGAATAGATAACAGTAACAGTTGATAGCAGACGTTTACTACAAATACATTTTATTTCGAAGTCATTTTGACTGAAATTGGTGTTAACGTCACACACTAATGTGCATAATGTGGTTCAGACAAAAAGATCAGAACCAAATCTAGCCTTTTTGGCTCATTGGTTTGCAGATGTCATTTTCCTTAAGTACCTTAGTATTTTGCTTATCTTCCTCCAGAATACCAGTTTCTGTCCGGTACGTCTTAGGAAACTCTAACCGCAAGGTTAACTCTTCACCTTGTCTCTAATATAAATATTACTTTAATGATAATTTGATTCTATCCTTTTAATTCTGTTTTATTCTAGACAACAAACCTCACAGGGCTAAAAGTTGCCATCAATCCTCACTACTCTCTGAAGTTGCTATATGGCAAGATTCTGAAAACTTTGGACAAGATGCCTCCAAATGCTGCTTATCCAAAATATACTCGTGAAATCATTGAGAAGAGACATGCAATTGTCCAATCGGTGGGTACCTCATATTTGTGGATTCTAGTTCAGCAACTCCGATTCCCTTTTTATACCACTGACATACCGCTGTAGCTGACTGGCTGCTCTATCTTCGAAGAAAAAACTGGTTTGCCAGTCGGAATAGTTATTTTCTCCTCTGATTTAACTGATTTAGCATTTCAGCTGTCTATATTTTTGTGGTCTTGATCTATGATAAATGCGTTTAGAATTGTAGAAAAGTCTCTGCAGGGAGCAGTTGAGAAGATCCAACAGGCTGCATTCTCTTTATAACACTTCTTGACTAAGGATATTGGCTGAAATTAAGTATAGGAAATTCATTAGAGATAACTCTCAAGTATTTCCATTCTTTTGCTATGCAGGAAACGGAGAATTTGGACACAAATTTTTTATTGCTTCAACTGAAAATGCTTAAAGTGCTGATTGTGCAGTATTTTTTATAATTTTTTCCTGTGATGGAAAATAGTATTAATATAGATTTCGACGGTGTAAGTCAGCAATCACATAACTTTTTTGCGGTGTCTGAAAATCCCCGCCTCTATATTATTTTTTCAAAGGAGAACAAATTTACATCATTCCTTGAAGTTTTTTCAGAATTTTCTTCGCTCAGTGAAGAAAAATCAAGGCAGTTCTGAAGAATTTTCGTTAAGTAGTTTTCTGTTAAAAAAATAAAGTATGACAGGAAGTCTGCGACATTGCAGACCAAGTTATGTGATTGCCGACTTACACCGTCGACTTATAATTGGTAAAATGTATGCCTATCATCTGCCGGCATTTTACACTTAAACACATGTATTTTAGCAGATTAGCTCATTATGTCACATCTCCTCCAATAATTGTTCAATTTATCAACAAAGGGTAACCTTGTGTTCCAGTGGTTTCCACTTGAACACGAAATTCATTAAATTTCAGACACCTGCTAAATCTCCATCATGCAACTGTTCAGCCTCCAAACATTAAAAATGCCAAATTTGTTTGTCTTCATATCTTAGTAAGGTTCAGATTAATCCGTCAATTTTTTTAAAAGTTAACCCAGTGCCACAACCCTATCTCTGATTGCCTGGTATCCCCACCCAATTCAAGTGCCATTCTGTCGGCAAATTCAGCAGTGTTTTCGACTAACACATCAGACCTTTGGATATAACTAATCAAAAAACTTTAAAATTGATTCCTCAGGAATTATTTACTGAATTGGATTTTTTTCATTTTTATTTTCTTACATTTCAGACTGAAAGAGTTGAGGACATCGAGGCGAAGATCGGCTGCGGTCAGGCAGAAGAACTGATTGTACAAGCAGAGAATGAATTACATCTAGCCCGTAATATGCTTGCATGGAGACCATGGGAACCCCTTCTCTCAGAACCCCCGCCAAACCAGTGGACATGGCCTCCTACCAAATAAGTTGTTTTTTCTTTTTTGTCCCTGAGCTATTCTAGCCATTGTTATTTCTTAAGTAATTAGTTTTAACTTAGAAAGGATTTTCCATCGCGCAATCAGTTTCTCGTTACTCCTCTTCGATTTCTCGAGAATAACCACCATCAACTTTTGTTGTTTGTATATGGTGACCATTAATATACCAACAATTTCTGTGGAAAGCCATCTCGAAGAAATGCAGTGCATAAATATTTGCTAAGTCTAATTTTAAATGCTTTAAGTAAATATTTATCAGTGTATGTGTCTTTTATAATAGCAGAGAACCTCTATCATTTTGTTATAATTCTTTACTGATTACAATACTACATTCTTATAAAACTTTCCGTGATTATGTATCCTGGTGTTATCACATTGCATCATCATACCTGATAACTCATGTCATAGAGGAAACTTAGGAGGTGGTGGCAAGCGGAGGAATGTACTTTTCTGCGTCACAGCTAAAAATGAAATTGCCCTTCTGATCAAGACCAATCCACACAGGTCAGTCATTCCCGTGGACGAGTTTTGGTACTCTACTGCGCAGTGACGTACTATTGACGTAGTATTGAGTGCTTGCAATGTATTTCTTATGGGAGCACCCATTGTGACGTACTATTGAGTGCAGCCGAGTTAGGGCCGGGCGGGGAAGTGGCTTTCAAAAAGATGCGCAATGACTGACCTGTGTGGATTGGTCTTGCTTCTGATTGGATCAAGCGAAAACCGAGACCTCTTTGAAATTTAAAAAATAGCGGGAAAGATTGTGAGGTTCCCCTTTATTTTAGCTCTATAAACTCATAACTAAGTATTGACTTTTTATTTTTCAATTTGTTGTTCTATCAACGTTTGACTGTAATTGAAAATAATTTGTAAGTGAAAAATATATATTTCATATAATAACAACTTTTATCTTGACTCGTCCCGTTTTGAAGGTATAACCATGTTAAATTACGTTTCGTGAGTCAAAAAAGCAGAAATTGGAGTCAGGGTAACTAATGCTCAATTATATGACTTTCAATGTTAGATTCAGTGGTGATGTAGGTCTTTATACAGGTTCCATCATGACATGTACTTTTTTTGGAACTGCGCGCCAGTCCGTGCACTTCGTACGTCACAGCCAATCTTCAAGATGGCTGCCTTGCCACCACCCTCTGTATTTTCTCTATGAACTCATGTTGCTCAGAAACTCATCAGTAAAAAGTGAATGTTTTGATACAGTAGGTTTCGTTATCAGGTAAATTAGTAGTTTTTTACTTTCTGATTACAGATGGTTGTGCTGTCACCTTTCTGTAATGACTATGAGCACAGCCACTTTAGTGTACCAACGCATAAAATTGCTTGACTAGCACGACCGTCATAAGTAAAGAACAGCCAATTTATCTGATAGGAGCTCAATGACACTGAATGAATCCTGCTGCTTTTGAAAAAGGGAAGGGGAGGTTGGGAAATTTTGAGACCAAAGTTCTGTTGAGAAACATTTATTGGATTTTCACATCAAACTTTAAAAAAATATTCACAGCTAAAAGTACAATTTGATTTTCAAAAAAATAATTAATGAGATTATGGTCACTTTGAGTTGGCTCATACACTGCGCCAACACCTGCAAAGGAGAGAGAGGCTAAAACATTGCTCTGGTTTTAAACAAATTGTTGAGTGAGGAACAATACTGAATATTCGATGTTATTTCGACATACAAGTTTCTGAGTATGCTGTAGCCTGTAAGGCCAAACAGAATGCAGCATCGCCTTTCCATAAACTGATAGTGAGATTTGGCACAAAAGCTCTACTTTGGCAATCCGAGAATGGACTACTCAAATGTTCCTTACTTCAGATTCTCGTTATGTCCTTTCTCTGTGAAATCTTAGGAATTGGACTTAAGCAGTATTGTTCCTGAGGTATTGTAATGATTTAGCCTTTCTCCCCTGAGAACAAAAAGACAAAACCTGTCAGTGGCAAGGCTTCAGCTTTTCAGCGCGATTTCCCTCAGTCTGAATTCCTGAGAAGAACAAGAGAATGTGCATTTGGTACAGAAAAACAAACAGGGGGGAAAAAAAAAAAATGAGGTCATTGAGAGGACCAAAGAATGAGAGCCTCTTTGAACTTTTCTCAAATCAATAATTGAGCAATATATTACAGGGAAGATACTTAAAAATAATGGATTTAAAACTAAAACTTACAGAAAGAAAATTTTTCCTGAGCGTAAAGCCTTTCGGTTCTGTGGATTAGAAACACAAGGCAAGAGATTATTTTAGGTGATGTTCTTCCCTCTTACAGAAGATCAAATAGGTATCATCGAGTAGCCAGTACTCATTCACATTTCTTTTTAAGATTACATGTAACTATACTGTACTATAACATTCTTCGGCAAATACAAATTAGTTCCTTCAAAATTTGGTGCCTAGACAGGCCCAACATTCGTAATTAAATTTACAAATGCTGTAAAATTTGTCTTTCCCGGCACAAAGAAATGTATCTCGACTCTGCCACTTCAGTATTTCTGCAAACATTTCATTTTTTCATGGGAGAATAGTCGAACGAATTCGACTGAAAATTTTAAATCTTCTCTCAACAATGTTGAGCAAAATCATAAAAAATTTCATACTAATTCATGCGAGATTTCTCTATAAAAAATAAAATGTTAATAAAAAAGACTAAAAACGAGTAATCGAGTAGCATTCCTTTGTGAAAGAAAGGACGAATTCAAGATAGTAAGATTCGTACCGAATTTGCTTCTTGAAAGGAATTAATTTCTCAAAGAAAACCGCAGAAATTTTATATGATGACCATTAATATTTACCTGTCAAGAAAAGCATGACAGTAATAAAACCCTGCATTTTTTTCAAGTGCAACAGGAGAATTCACACAGAAATCTTACTTAAAAATTCTAAGAACACTGGAAATTTCGTAGAGCTTAACTAAATGCAACTTCATTATTAAACAATCTGCTCGAAAAAGTAATTTTATCAAGCATAAAAAAAACCTTTTACATTGATTATAAACAGGACTGGCACCACACTTCTTGACGAAATCGACAAGCTATCTTCACACCAACAAATATTACGATAGACAGAGAGTCAACTCTCAAGTTATTGAACAATTTGTACAAATGACTCAATCATTCGATGAAACACTCAACGATGATTGATAAACAATGTTTTCTTTTACAAAGGTAATAAAAACTAAATGCTGATAGATAGGACAAAAAAATGTTTGATTTTCAATGTAAAGATGAGAAGGATTAACAAAATTATAAAATTCTAATTTTATTCAACAAGAAGATATCTAATCTTATTTGGATAAAGTTTTTACTGGGATAATTGATTAATTCCATATGACTGTTTATTAGAAAATCGAATTCGCAGGCAATAACAGGAATAATCCATAGTCAGAATTTTGAATCGTAGTATCAAAGACTTCAAAACTAAAAATCACTTGAATTAAAAATTGGCCAATGGTCTTGAAAGCTACCATTTTGAATCGTAGTATCAAAGACTTCAAAACTAAAAATCACTTGAATTAAAGATTGGCCAATGCTCTTGAAAGCTACCATTTTGAATCGTAGTATCAAAGACTTCAAAACTAAAAATCACTTGAATTAAAAATTGGCCAATGCTCTTGAAAGCTACCTTTGATTGTCTTGAGCAACAAAAAGCTAATGAAATCAAAGAAAGTCTCCATCATTTGGAACTGATGATTGGAATTTCTGAGAGGGTTCTTAAATATCCCCAAAAAATATGCAGCCACGAGACCACTGTCGGCTGAATTTGCATCATAAAGCCCAATTCATCCTATTAAACTTTTCATACAACTTTTCGTTCAATCATGATGAATGAAAAGTTGGACAGTGTGATACCGACGAGAGAAAGCGACAATTTGATGAAAAATTGGACAGAAACTTGAATGTGACGTCACATTCAACTTTCCATCCAACTTCCAGCCAATTGGATGGAAAGTTGGAACGAAATCTTCTGACTGACATGAGCCAAAGCTATATCTTCGCAAACCGCAGGTTGATGGCGATATCAAACTGGAACAGTAATTGAATCAAATTTATTTGTGTCCAACTTTCCATCCAACTTTTCGTTCAATTTTGTCGGATGAAAAGTTTGATAGTATGAATTGGGCTTAAAAGTTCTTGTTCTTGGGAACAATCAGCTTTATACAATTTGCTAGAACTAATCTGTGCATTGTTACCCTGTAAATCTGTCTATAAAGCTGCATGATATATAAAACAGTTAAACACGGCAACAGCTCAGATTCGCCATTTTTAAACTCCAATAGTCATCAGTAAAAGTCCTCTATAACTTTATACTCCCTATCAGCAGAGTTTTGGAGGCTTGACAAACAGCAATATGACAACCCTGGTAATTTCGTTTGTCTGTATTATGCCGAAGAATTTAAATTGGTGACTGGATCTGTGAAAAGGGAACCTGACCTTGACGTTTAGCAAAAACTTAAACCTTCTTTTTCTACAGCCTAAAAAATTTGTCCTCGGACTTAAGGACTAATATCTCCTTCAATTTTTGAGATTCTAGGGTCAAACTTGCGCCAAAATTTCCAGCTTTTTTTCTTCCACTCATTTGCAAAAATTAAGGAAAATTTTCTTTCAAAAGATAAGGTCTCTTTTCAGGGATCCAGTCAAATTTTTGTATGATTATTTCATGGACTTCTATGACTGAAACTTTCAAAATTTAACACTCCTTCAACAGTGAATTGGTTCAAACTTGAAACCTGCTTGACGATGATAAATTAGATGCACCAAAAACAAGGTGAAAAACTTTTAACATCTCATTCAAAACTTTAAAAATGTAAAATAACTTTAGAATTGTATTACTCCTCTCTTACCGGTAAATTTAAAAGTAGGGACAATTGGTTTTAACAAGGGCTGCTTTATGCTTGAGAATCGTTTCGACCAAGGTCTGCAAATGCTGGAATTGCCGAGACGCATCTCCTCTATAAAATCATTTACCGGCAAATAATTGGTGCGTAACAAAATTTTAAAGTCATTTTTAAGTTTGGTAGGTCTCTGTGCAGTGATGCATTTAACACTAGCGATTCAAGGTAACATACTGTATAATTTAAACTAAAAAAACCAGAAAATGGAGATGGCCATCTTGTTGATTTTGATTTCCCGTCGAGGTTTTGTTTTATTGATACACGTAAACATTGTTTCTAAACCCACTGGAATATTCATCTTCAATAGCAAGTTCAGTTTCTGAAATACTTGAAAAATTCAAGCAACTGCCGGGAAAGTTGTTTTCTTCTTTCTACAGGTCTGTGAGCTTTGCACATAGAAATTTACGTAGATTTGTTGTTGATCCATGAGTTTTGTTAGGTTGGGTTTTTCAATTTTTCTAATTTCTTCTCATTTTTTCCTCCGCCCAGGGGATTGAGAAATTAGCAATTTTTTGTACTATCTGATAAGAATTTTGAGAGAATTAACCATTCCGAATCCCCAGGGCTTGTTCAAGCTCAACCCGTTTTTGTTGTACCTTAGTGTAGAAGTACCGACAGACAGCTTCTTGGGCCCAAGGCTGGAAGAAGAACTCAGAACGCCTTTCTTCTTCTGGATTTCCGACAACATCCGTCATCGTCTGAAAAAAAGAGAAAAAAAATATAAAATTTTTAAAGAAACTTGACTTTAATTATGGATATGTAGGAATTCATTTAAATATTTTTGAAAAAAAAATACCTTACTGATGACCTTAGACTTAGTTGAGTTCATACTGAAAGACTGCTTCTCATTGGATTTTACTATTTAAAAGAACATACAATGACTAATTCAACAGAACTGAACAGAAACTATCTTTGCATGGTGGATTCAGGCAACGGTTTCATGTAGTTTTCATTTAGTTTTTTTAATAGGAGATAGGTCCAAAGTTAGATGCCATTTAACAGTTTTTACAACTGCAAAATGTAGTCCATCTGTCACATTTAACAAAAAATAACAAGGCTTACCTTCAGGTCCCGTGTTTGTGAAATAATCCACTTGTTGATGAATTGCTGAGAATCCTTGGCAAAGCTCAAGAAGAATTCGCGATTGGTTTTAAGTTGATTGATAGTCTCAACTGTCTCGTGAATCTTGTTATCAAGACTCTGGATTTCCATCTGGCTTGCCGTCGAGAGAAGGAAGTTGTTCATTTGCTGCTTCAGCGTATCATCTACTTCCACATCGATATCATAGCAAGCCGTCTGTTTCTGTTCAGTGCCTTCAACGCTGATCATGTGGTTGATAACGATTGGGTCTGGTGGATGGAGTAGGGGATTTAGCCGCTGAGGGATTTCTGCAAACTTCATTTTCGGGCAAGAGAAAATTTGTTCAAGGTATTTATCACAGTTAATCCACTCTCGTTCATGATTATCCTAAAACAAGAAAGATGAAAATCTTATAAGGCCCAAGTATAATTCTTTAAAAACACATACATTCTTTGATTTGAAAAGGTTAGAGCCCTTGCCAAATAAGTTTACACACTTCTAGCCTGCGATGGAAGATCATTTGACATCACTTTTACTGGTAAAGTAAATGCAAGAGAGAAGATGGCGGATCTTCTGTCGCAGTCTAAAAGTGTGTAAACTTATTTAAAGTAAACTCCATGAAGTTGTTATGAAGTCACTTTATAACTGCTGCTGGCTAAAATTTCTATAAAAATATTAAATGAGACATCTAAATGTGATGTCAGTATTCCGGCTCTAACTTGTTTCTTCATAGGCACCAATTGAAAAAAATTCGAATTCCATGTTCATTAATGGACCACAGGACAAAGTACTACTTTAAGCATTCTAGTAAATGTTTCTGCAGCAAAATTTCACGTAAAACACACTGCGCATGACAAAAATTACCAAAATTAATTATTGGCCAAGCTATAGACAATTTTATTTAGCATTGGTGACAAAAAATTTGAATTTCCCCCTCAAAAGAAAACAGAAGTCTATGTTAATCAAATAGTGCACTACATACAACGATTTTGGAGGGTTCCTTAATAGAGTAGTATTACTTCTCCGCTCTGGGTTGTTCAAAGTGTAAACAATGAGCAACAGCTGAGTTGAAGCCCGGAGATTGAGGTTATCATAATTTTATACCACAGAGACTAGTTTAGATACATAAACGTTTAATGTGCAATTCAACTCAAGTCGATTCTGGTTTTTTAAATGAGCAGGAGGTTTGAATTTATGCGAGAAAAAACGTTCATTAGGTTAAGGAAAAAGGTAAGGAGTTGATTTCAATAAAATTTATGGATCAAATTGTGTTCTTCGTCGTATTTTGATGAGAAATCATGTATCATAATGCTTAAATTTGCGCCTTGTATAACGGTCTTTTCCAAATTGATGCTGTGGAGTTGCTTGTAAGGTACTTTGATACACCGGTATTTAAAACTGACAGTGAGAATACTTGATGAATCAATAAAATACCCAATGAAGGAGAGCATTAACGCACCTGTAATTTGTGAGTTTTGATATATTGCCAAAGAGCACTTATTATAACAGGTCTAGTTTGCGTATGTACACCAAGTAGTCGCGCTAACCTGGCGTCTAATTTGAACTGTAAAGGTTGATAGTCAAGAAGTAAAAGAATTTGACACCGCACATTCTTATCTCCCGGTCGTTTCACCTAAAAAAAAGCAAAAGTAAAATGATTACTAAGATATTCAATTTTCTTCTACTTCAAAATATTATCAAATGATATTAAAATGATTTTCCAAGAAATAAACATTACTGGATAAAGATTATGAGAGGCAAGAGAGATGATTAAAAAGAGAAATCAGTCCTTACTGAAAAAATCTCTTAAATTTTAATGAAATTCGATCAATATTTCACTTAGGCATGCAAAATTTAGATATAAATGATTTAGGTTTGTCAAACTAGTAGAAAATAATTAGTTAAAATTGAAAAAGATGATAATACACTCGTTGAGAGCAATATTATACCTATTTGCTTTAAGTTGAATCATAAATTTACCCGAATCGGAATCCCAAATTTTAACTTTTGAGTCCTAGAATCCGAATCCATGATGAATTCTTCACTTTTCAGAAACCAAGTACTTTTTCTTACTCATTATTACGCAGGTAATACTGGTTGCAATATCTTGACGCGGCAAGTATTTATACCAATATTTACTGTTCAAGAACATTCTGGGACAAGTCAAAATTTGAGATTGATGATATCGAGAGACAATATCGATATTTGAGAATCTTCGAGATTCGGCTTCGTGGCGCGAATTTTGAAATTTTGGAAAATTAGCAGATTTGGATTTACGTTCCAACATTTTGACATCAATTCCACGCCCCAACACTAATACCTATCGAATCAAATGCAGTGTCTAGTTTCATGAAAAACAATGTAAAACTAGATTCTCTTAAAGTTTTTGATGGGAGCCTCTGGTTAAGCAAGAGCCATTACCTAAAAATGGAAAAAAAATGAAAATTGCCATCTCTCTGTATTGAGGAAGCAAAGTGAGTGATTCTTTGCATACTCCTTGTGAATAAATGAAGATTTGCGATAGTACTGAGAATTTCAAAGAGAAAATAATTCATTTGAGTGTTTGTTACACAACTGATTTCCTATATTTCTAAGGATTTTATAGAATTAAATACGAACCTGGAAACCGTCAGTTTCTTGCGTCGTTGCCGTTCTGTGCCATTCAACAAGGTGGTTATCAGGACCATATAAATCCTTATCTAATTCTATGACAAGAGATTTGAAAAATGATGAGAACTTCCGTTTCAGCTGGAACTGGATGAACATAAAACAGATTAATTTATAGAATGAATAAAATTTTTAACTTTTCCTAAAGCAGACTAGGCTTTTTTTGCAAGAGTAAGTTTGGCCACATTTTTTTTTTTTTTTTGTTTCACTTGAAAAACTAGATAAACCAAGCCAAAGCTAATTTTTTGATTTGTAACCACAATGACTTTAAGAAAAAGTTACTCAGAAATATGTAAAAATTAGGCAGCTCAAAACTCAGTTTGTGGTAGACATTTAATTTAAAACAGCGACAAATAGTGATAAAAATGTATGCATAAGCGAGGGTGGAAATCTGGAAATAGTGTGTTCTCAATAGTTCTCATCTTGAGTTCATAGAATTCCTTTATTGCTTCCTTGCAGCTACTTCTCTGCAATTTGATAGAAGCTAATCCTGGCTCATATTTTCCGATAATGTATTCACAACGTATCTTGCAGACTTAATTATCAAATTGTTTTACAGAGAACATTAAATTTTCATGATTTTAATAACACAGTCCAGAGATACAAAAGTAATTGGTGTCAGTAAATTAGTCATTAAGAATGAATTGTGGATAAATTTGATTGCATTACTTTCAGAGCTGTGTGCGTGTAACCTAACTCGAGGATGAACTTCAAAAGGCTAAATAATCAAAACTTCAAAATGGTCTATCTAAAATTAGACAAGGTTACAAGGGTTCCTGCTATTTCAGTTCAAGGCATGCATTTCCATCTCATCATTTAAAAATGTTTCACATATCGACAGTGAAACTCCGAAACCATATATCTACATCTGCAACGTTGCAGACTTCCTGTAATACTTAATTTTTTAAATGGAAAACCACTCATCATCAATTCCTAAAAACTTGCATGATTTTTCTTCTCTGAAGGCAATTCTGGGAATCTTCAAAACATATTGATATTAGATACTCTCTCTATAGTTATCTCAAATCTACGGCAGAAAAGAGTTCAAAATGAGCAAAGAAACATGGTATAAGAGGGCAAGCCTCTCATATTATCAGCAAACGAGCTGAAACAAAATAACACTGAGGGCTGAAAATTAGTCCGTTATTGGTAAATAGTTGCTTTGAAGATAATATCAAATTGACTTCTACAATAATCACCTTGTTTGGATCGCTTTTGGAATCTTCGAGGAGCCGACCTTCTACTCGCAGTTCCCAGGATGCAACACTGCCCTCTTCGCCTGTTCCTTCTGGGCCTGGTTCTTTAGCAGCGTAAAAAGTGTTTGATATGAAAATTCTGAGTTTTCGCTTCTGTTTCATAGGTCTCTTAAGAGCTTCCTGTAAAAACACACAAGATTCTTTAGTGAGATTTTCAGAGGCACTTGGATTGTCAGTGATGAGAATCACAGGCGTATACGAGGGACATTCTTTTGAATCATTATAGTGAGAGTGATGTCTTTACCACAGTTGAAACCCTTTTTGGCAGGATCTTTGTGGGAGTGACTGTAAAATTTGTAAAAATAGGGAGAGGCTGATTGATACCTTTTCAATAATCTCTACGATCTAACTAGATCCGCAGGTAAGTTTCAGTCAGTTTTTTTACAGTTATTGATTAACTTTCTGATGTCCTCTTCTGAAGACGAATGACGCATGTGCATGTTTCTTGTGATTTTCTCGAGAATTAAAATTTTAAAAACAAATGCATTTGTCCTGACTGATTTACATGTTAATCAAACTTGTGATATCTTGGCTAGAGTAATTAATTATAAAATAAAAACAGAGGCAAGAATTTTCCAGATTCTAAATTTCTGGCACATCCTCAGATTTTTAGGAAGGGTTGATAGAACATGACAGCTGCTTTCTGGCTTAGTATCAATACATTTTTTAAGTTTTGTTGATGACTGAGAGAGATTAAGGAACAGAAATAGAGAGACCAGCCGCCACACCTGCTAGTATTAGATCATAATGCTTATATTTCAAAGCCGACAATTAGTTTAGCTGAAATGCACTGAGGGGTTATTGACCAAGAGGAATTTGAAAAAAAATAAAATGAAATATTTTGCTCCTTAAAATTTTACGTAACTTTAACTCTTGGTAATAAACATCAGTCCAAGAGAGGTTGAAAATGGGCCTGTGGCAAACTTTAGCTAGAGCAAAAATAAGAGTTGTTTCTTATAGATAATGTCTCAAAAATCACGATGAGCGCATCGGCAAAGTTTGAAATGCACTCATAATTTCACAATCTGCGAAAGAAATTTGCGTTTTTTTGAACTTCCCACTTCAAAAACGATACTACGGCACAGGTGAACATTTTGCTAGAGGAGTCGTTCCATAGTCGACAATATTCTTCATGGCCGACGCTTCCGCAGTTCTGCGCGTAATTTGAGGAGAGATCAAGGTCAATTGAGGCGGGCGAGGGAAATATGAACGTAGGCACGCCGATTGTTATTGGTCTTATCTTGGTCATGTGTTATCTTGTCCTGTCACACTTGTTTTGGCGGATTGGCGTCGGCCATGATGAATATTGCTGACGATGGAACGACTCCTACAGCAAAATGTTCACCTGTGCCGTAGCATCGTTTTTGAAGCGGCAAGCTCAAAAAACCGCAAATTTTTTGCGCAGATTGTGAAGTTATGAGTGCATTTCAGACTTTGCCGATGCGCTCATCGTGATTTTTGAGACATAATCTATAAGAAATGACTCTTTTTTTTGCTGTAGCAAAGTTTGCAACAAGCCCATTGTTGAAAAAATCTAATACCTGAATATCCAGTCGTTTTCTCATTATGGTGGAGTCCAATTTCCTCTCAAAAGCCAATAGATCCATGTAAGCCTGAGATTCAGGAACCAGATCCCTCACTTTCTGTGGTAGTATTTTATCAGCCAATTTCTTTTTCTTTTTCGAAGACATCGGTGGTCCACTGGAAGAATTGGCATGTGCATAATCCCTGCTGATCAAAAAGGAGAGGTTAATTACAATAATGCAGAAAAAGAAAAAACTCCAGATCAAAATCATTGAGGTAAAAATGAAAATAAGTTAAAAATAAAGTCAGAGTTGCCAATTTTTCCAAAGTACGGAAAGCATATTTTAGTCTACTATCAGTGTTTGAAACTCATAGGCGCCGACGCGCCTAAAAATCGGCCATGGCGCCTAAAAATGAAGGCTCTGCGCCAACGTGGCCCCTAAAAATCTGAATTTTTATATTAGGTTATTATTCGAAATTTTCAGCACCACAAGTGAAAGCTTTCTCTATTCTTCACGATTTCATCATTTGTGCTTTTGTCTCCCCCAAGTTACAACTACTTACTAGTTCTGTTACGAAAACATCTTGCGTCTAAATTTTCACTAAATGCGCCGTAATATATAGGCAAAAAGTCAATTTGGCGCCTAAAAACTCTTCAATGGCACCTAAAAATCGGGCTTGATGCGCCACATGGCTCCTAAAACTCAAAAGTGAGTTTTGAACACTGTCTACTATGTTTAAATCCCTGATAAGATTTTGGAATTCGCTAAAAATTGTAAAAAAATACAGCCATCTACGGGAAAAATGCAGTAACTCCTATGAAGACTTTGCACTCTTCTTCCACACATAATGTTTGGTTACAAGAAAACCTGATCACCATTATGCTTCATTTTGTGTATTGAATGTATGAGTTATCGACAAAATACGAGAAGGAAAAAATACAAAGCACTGACCCTACTCTCCCTAAGTGCAAGCTCATGCAGAGAGCAGTCAATTACAAAGACAAAACAAAAAAAGAAAGAGAAAATAAATTAGAATAACAAAAATAGATAATAACGACAAATTAAGAATATTTGAATTCTAAATGGTATGCCACAGTTATTTTAGAATTATGAAGTATAAATGGTCGTTGGTTGCTCTGTAATAAAACATTGTCGGTAAAATGTTGAAAAAGTCAAGAATTAAGTTTCAGGGCGGTAGAATTTAGTTTAGAATGTATCCGATTCGTCATGATCTGAAATTCTTCACCGGATTTTCATTTTCAATTCACCTGCTCCGGAGGCAAGTTCACACATAATTAGCGCTGTCCTGAGACACACAAGCACAAATAAGTTAATGTGTGTGGTTGCAGCTGATTTCGTTTTGGTCAAGTTTTTACTCCATTTGCTGTCTTAAATTGTTAAAAATATTTGGAAAGTTTGTACACCAAAACGTTTGAACAACACTCTTCAACATCATAGTATCAACAACTCAATTTATAACTTTTTGGCACTAAGGTTTTTTGTTTCCAGGGCTGACAATCGCTTCACGTAATCTAAAGAATGGATTAACGAGCATGCAAACAATCAGTGCTGCGTTATTCAATAAAAAATGCAAGATCGTTTTATAGTATTTTTCTGTGAGGAAATTTAGGAAGATTTCTTAGAACGCAATTGATACAAACCCTTTAACTCCAGGCTGAGGTGGTCTTGGGTCACCTCCAAGGCCTCTTTTGTTTCCAACGGGTGGTGTCATTTGTGGACGCATTTGATTATATGGAGGTTGTGGCTGACGTGGCATCATGTTTGGCTGCTGATTGTAACTCCCGGGTCCCGGTCTTTGCTGCAATGTGCAAAAAATATTGATAAGAGAAAATGTTACAACTACTAAGTTCAGCTTCTAACTCAAGAAAAACAAAAAACAGTCCCATGGGATGGATCTTCATTTTACCCATATTGCATTCTGGGTAGGACAGATGTATTTCAAATTTTAACTGATAGATGACTTATTGTACAAGAATCAAAATGGGAGTCTCTACATCAAATAAGACTAGAGAATGCTTCTACCAAAATCATCTCTCATGTTCATAGCAAAATGTCAAAATTACCGTTATTAACTGAATATTGATATTCATGAATTGAAATTAGGAAATAATAAGGTGAGGACAGAGAATATGGTGTGGAAACTGTGTCACTACAGGATTTCAAGGAATGCATAGAACGCGTTGAATCGAGATCTTTGCGATTCGGGCTGATTCAGCCGGCCTGACTGCGGCCTCAACCCACCTCACAAGAGCAGCCCAAGCGTGGCCGCATGGGACGCGCCAGTGGAACGGGATGAAAAAAAGATTGCATTCTGTAGCGATCTGCTATGGTTCGGATAAAAAAAACCCTGACAACTTATACTGATATCATGAGACAGAACTTTGTTTGAAGACTTCTCTTAAACATAGTAAACCAATTAACTATAATGAACAGTTGATGAATATTAGAGATCAAGCGCTCTTGAACCCAGCCTTAGTATCTAGTCTGATATTTTGAGGTTGATGATCGTTAAACCTTTCAAGGTAGCGCTGAAGTGGACGGAAGATGGTATCTCAGAATGAGTTTCAAAAGTTGGCTTCAACTCAACTGCAAAATGTAAAACAGACAACTGATACCTACAGTTTGCGACTTTAACCCTACATTTTTGAAATTTTTCGTGTATTGGGGTTTGAAATAATCTTGGTTCCACCTCCGCTGGGATCACTGCTAACCGCTTTGAGAAGGTTCACAAAGAGCGTGAGTGAAAGGCCGATAGCCGATGCATTAGCAGAGAAAATTTCGGATGAGAGTTCTTCAATACTTGGATAAAACTATAGATTCATTATTGAAGAAATATAAAATGATCTTACTGGATAATTTGGGCTTCCATACTGCCGCATGGGTGGCACCGGAGGGGGCCCATAGCGAGGAGACTGGCCGGCCATTGCCATTGTAGATGTAGATTTTAATAATGGAACATTCACGGATACAAAGATAGTTTCTCACACTAGTACACCTTAATAATAAAAAAACTTAACAATTATAGCAGTCGTTGAACCATTTTATCGTGAAAAAAAAACTTCGCTTGCAAAGGCGTAAATCGGCGTAAATACAAACAAACGTTGATAAACAACTGTCAGCCTAGAGCGCAGCACCTCTGCCATTGAAGTCAATGTTGTCAATTCGAAATTTAAAGTCCGTATTTTTTTTAATAACGCTGAAAGGACTTTCGCAGGATATCCTGTCATTAAAAATATGGGGTAACTTTGAGTAAGCTTTGAGCTACTCCGTTAAATCGCGCGAGGACCATCCGAAAATTCTAAAAATTGACACTTTGGCAACATTTTAAACTCAGAAACAAAAAAAAGCGGGAATTTGAGGGAGTCGATGTGGTTTTTTTTTTCCTTTTAGGAAGCTTACAATCTTTAGAAGAAGTAGAAGAAGTAAAGAACAATAATTCGTAAAAAAAAAATAAATAAATAAAAAGAAAAAAATTGCAGAGGAGTTAAAAAAAATTGCTGGATACTTTTTATCTTAAAAAGTATGGAAACTTTTACAATGTTACAATCGGGAGTACCTCTACAAGGGTGGCAAAATTTCAAGAAAAATAAAATCTTGAAATTTCATAAGAATATTTCATGAAATTTCAGAAATTTATGAAAGATAACGAAAAATACCGGTTCCTTTTCATGTTTCGCAAAATTTAAAAATTGGGACTTTCTTCCATATTTGTGAGTTTAAGTGCGAGTTGCATATCTATCCCCTGAAAAATACAAAATATTTCAAATGCTCGTGAAATTTCATGAAATATTTCACTGAAATTTCCAATCTTTCATTTCTTTCTTACCTACGTTTCATGCCACACCCTGACCTCTACCTACATACCTACATATTTTTTCGACGTCAATATGCTAATTTCTTCCTTATGAGTTAATATTAATTTTGAAAATTTTCTTTCCGGTATGTACTGACTCTTCTCCCCTCTCTTCTATCTTTCATCCGACCCTCTCTCCTTTTCTTCGTGACCTCTTCATTTCTCTCATTTGTTTCCGGTTCCGGTTTGTCATTCACTCGGCCGTTTCCGTTTCCGTTTGTTGGCGCAATGCGCATGCGCACGAGCGGCGCAGCTTTCGCTCCACTCCCCTTTGAACCGCGTTAAACACGTTTTTCTTGACGATGTGAGTAATCTTTTTCGGGGAGTCGGTGCCCTTTTGCCCCTTCTTTGCGTTTTGATTAGCTACCGAGTCGGTCGCGTGTGACTTGGTATGGCATTTTTCGACTTCATCCGTCGTTAAGTAATCTCCCGACCCCTTGTGCGCCGAAAGTTCGACCCCTCCTTCCCGGCGTCATGTTCAACTTGCGCGGGATTCGCTCGATCCATGCGTGAGCTTTCGACGGTGAGGTGGCGCGCTTCGCGAGAAAACGGAAGCTCGAAGAATCTCGTCTAATTTTCATTCCAATTTCCAAACCCAAGACCGGACTTGGGGCGCACATGTGCAGTAGTAGGTGTCCTGACCCGCGCCGCGGGACGGAAAGCGGAAAGTTTTTCAGTCGCTTCTGCGTTGTCGGGCGTGAATGTAGCGCTCTGCGAGACCGCGCTTCTTCGTTCTCTCACCTTTTATCGATGTCAAATCAGATTCAGAGTTAATTAATTCGCGCCGGTGTTTCCCGCGGATTTTGAGCCGGGATTCGGATTTCGTCACGAGACCGGATCGGTGTGAGTGCGTGGATTTCCATGTGTGTGTGTTTTCTAACCTAACTTCCACCAAAACACCCGTGCGTGTGTGTTGTTTACACTTTCGACGGATTCGCACATCCGCTTTGAAATTTTGATTAGTCGCGAAGATTATTCGGTCTGAATTAGCTTGCGATTGTTTTTCGCGGATCGGGCGACGTGCCGATCGCATCTGTGCGAAAATCATCACGGTTCAGTGTTTGGGATCGCTTTCTTTTGCTGGTGTTATGTGACAGTGTAGCAGAGTCCTCCCCCCTTACCTTTTTGGTTTTGATATTTATTCAAAGTCTCCGGTTTATGATTCGGTGAAATGGGGCGCTTTTATTTTTGTCACATCAAAAGTTCAGTGTGTTTCCTGCAAAAATTGGTACTGTTCGTTGTCTTGTTTACCTGCGTAAGGAATGGCAGTGGAAACCACACAACTGGTAAGTCATCCTCAAAATTTCTTGGTTTTGTCGAATGATTGGGTTGCATGCATCTCTAACATGATATAGCTATGCTACATGAAACGATGTCAGGGGTTTTCACCTGTAATCAAACCTTACCTCTCTACTTTTCATCATCATCTCTGAGAAGAGATGCATCTTGCTGAGATGACATCAAGCAAGTATCCATTTGGGATACCTAGTCGTGCAAATGAAACTGCATCTTTCCTTCCTTTCTTGGCTTCAGATGCAAAGCTAAGGATGTATATAATTATGTTAGCCAGCGCTCTCTCACTCAGACTCATAGTCTGTTTGTACATGTTTATCTTTCATACGGTTTCAATGTTGCTGAGGAGTATCTACTGTCAACGATGTTTTCCTGTCGTAAAATTCAAGCTGAGCAGTTATATCATGGGCTGAAACTTCCAAAAACATTATGGTGCATGCAGACATGAGATAAAAGTAACTGACAATGCTCCGGGTAAATCTGAATTTTAAGTATAATGAACCTTTTCTCTTGGTTTAAGCCACAATTTTCAAAGACGATTCTTTGGTGAAGTAAATTTATGGAATCCATTTGTTTCATCTTGAATGGTTTTCCATAGTTGTTGGTGTCTTTAACAAAAATTTTACTGCTTTAAGCCAAGTTTTCTAGCTTTATTCGATAGGGTGAAAGATGTGGTATTCTGAAGCTTTAATCTCTAATGGAAAATAGCCTTTTTTGTCTTATTTGGTGAATCCAGTGGAAAACTGGTACGCTGGACTGAAAAGGGCATGCGCTTAGTTATTATCATTAACTAAATGATGATGTAAGTCTATATAGCAGCAATTAGTAACTGTGATCTAAGAATCAACAACTTTTAAGAAAGCTCGAATTAAACACATGAATTTTAAAAAGGTAACACTTAGAAACACAGTTGTAATCTATGTTTCAGTAACTCTGTCTGGGTATTTTTTGCAGCCTTTATGAAAGACCTATCTAAATTTCAAGTGAGAAAGTGTGACAAAACTGCTCGATCCAATGTAGTTTTTTAATACCTAAAATTTTTTGGGTAAAAACTGCTCACAAAAAACTATAAAAACTATAATTTTTTTTCTTGAAATCTTTTTTTCGCAAGTGAATTCAGCTTTAAAAATTAACCAAAATGGGTTTTCTAAAAAATTAATTTTTAACAGCTTTTCTCGAATTTTTAAAACGTGTTGTTTAAAGGTCGTTGCCATTGGGATTCTCCTCCACCACATTTTAGTCTATTACACATTTTTGATATCCAACTCAATGCTTCTTAAACGAAGGAATGTCACTTAATTCCAGGCTGCAAAATTGGACTCAAACAATTAATTTTTTTGCAAGAATACGACTGTGCAAACCTGCCATGCTAAGGAAAAACGTCGTATCAACCTTCAGGCGTTGCCAAATTCCCTCCACTAAATTAGGAATTTATTGAAGAAGTTGTACCTAAATATTTTTCTTCAAAATTTTCAGACTATTTTGTTCGCACTTTAACCTAAAATATCTGAAAACTTCAAGGGCAAATATGCATAAATTTCGTCATAAATACCTGTTTAATCTGGGAAAATTTGGCAACTCTCGAATGTTCATACGGCGTTCTTCCTTAGTACGGCAGAATATCTCTCTGAAATAATTCCGATTCTCGCGTGTAATTACAAGAGAAATCGGTGAAATTCTTAGTTAGAAATTCCCAATAGGCACCTAGTTTCAAAGTCTCAAAAATGATTCGGAAGTGGAAATTTTGCAACGTTGAAAAGCTTTTATGCTATTTCATATGGGAGACGACGAATTCTTCCTGCCGTACCTACCCCTTCCTCCACAATTGCACTGGAAAATAAAAGAAACACATTGTATCTACAGTCCAGACTCTTGAAAACATTGACAAGAAAAAATACTCTTGACTCAATCGGATTTTTGCTTGAATCAAAACAAAATCCGCTTAAAAGAGGCTTGGTTCTTGATTTAAGCTAGATTCTGATTGAATCAAGAGTACTTTTTCTTGTCGATGTTTTTAAGAGTCCGGACTCTAGATCCAATGTGTTTTTTTTTTTCCAGTGTGGACCGTATTTAGCAGAAAGGAACCAAGCCCCATTAGCTATCGCCAAATTTAAGTGGGCAATTTAATTTCCTACAAGAGAACCTCTGTGCGGATTCCTTCGAAAATTTTAAGGAATGTGCTTCGCACTATGCTAAAAATTCACTGAAACTTGCACAAAAATTCGCACATCCATTTTCACGTAAAAAATTAAATTGTCCAATTGAATTTGGCAATATCTGATATGGTTTATGGTTCCTTTCTGCTTAACTTAGTCCATTTCTGCCACTACGAAGGTAAGTAGGACCTATTTGTATGCACCGGAAAAAATTGGCCGGTTCTAGAGTCCAGATTCAGAAAAACGTCGACAAGAAAAAATACTGTTGGTTCAATCGGATTTTTGCTCAAATCGAGAGCCAAACCTCTTACTTTAAGCGGGTTTCCTTTGATTCACGCAAAAATCTAATTGAATCAAGAGTAGTTTTTCTTTTCAATATAGACTCTATATCCAAGCAACTATTTTTCCAGTGTAGGGAAACTAACAAGACGCATAGCGCCGTGCTAAGGAAAAATGCCGTATGAACAGTCAAGAGTTTCCAAATTTCCTTCAGTTAAATGTTCAATTCATTAGGAGATTTTTGAATATTTTCTCATGAAATTTGTCAGGTAATTTAAATCTGATTATGAATACAATTCTCTGAAAAATATCCACAAATTTCCCTATTATTCGTATTTTATTGAAGGAAAGGCGACGTTTGAAGGCTCATACGACTGTCTTGCTGAGGAAGAACGCCGTATAAGCCTTCAGACGTTACCAAGTTTCTACCAAGAAAACCGAAATCACTGGGAAAATTGTGAATATTATTTTCCAAAATTTCCGGACAATTGTGTACGCAATTTAATCTAAAATATCTGAAAATTTCAAGGGAAAACATGCATGAATTTTGTCAAAAATACATGTTTCATCAAGGGAAAGTTTGAAACTCTTGAATGCTCATACGGCAGTCTTCCTCAGCACGGTAGTACAGTGCGTTGTTTTTAAAATCTGCCAGAAATAGTAAGTAGCTACTTAATCAGTGTTCCTCATTGCAAAAGCACGCTATTTATACGTGGTCTGCCGGTATGACTATGTCAGGGATCGTTGCTCAGGATCTGATATCTGATGCGGTATGAAAGGCCGAAAAACTGGAGTGACCGAACAGGAGGGTGTTATTGTCTTGTTAAACATGTTTGGCTGCCATGTCAGAATGTCGGATCGTTGTTTTGACGAAATGACTTATCTCAATTACCACGAGAGCCCTCTTCTCCGTATAACTTAATGCTTTCCAGGGCTCATGTCGGAATAGAGATACGCCCTTTCGTTAGAGGATCGTTGTTTTGTCCGAGCCAGTGCCGCGGCCGATGCCAGCGAAGCATCGGGATGGGACTGCATCCATCGGCGCAAAGTGGATAATGTTTGAGTCAAAACCAGGATCAGAATGACCACGCAAACCTAAAGTAGCATTTTTCAACGGGGATATCGCGATACTTTGAAATTACACTGGGAAAAAAAAAACACATTGGATATAGAGTCCAGACTCTTAAAAACATCGACAAGAAAAAATACTCTTGATTCAATCAGATCTAAGCCTAAATCAAGAACCAAGCCTCGTAATTTTATCTTTAACAATACTTATCTTATGTTATATACTTATCTTATGTAATATATGTAATATTTAAATACGATAATAAAGATAGAAGGGGAGTGTCCCTGATATAAAAAAAAAAAAAAAAAAAAAAAAAAAAGCCTCTTAATTTGAGCGGATTTCCTTCTTTATTTAAGTTTAAATCTGATTGAATCAAGATTCCTTTTTCTTGTCAATGTTTTCAAGAGTCTGGACTCTAGATTCAATGTGTTTTTAACCTAACTCTCTGGATCCGAGAGACTTTTTTTTTCAGTATGAGCGATGATTATCCTCAATCTTGTCGCAATTTTATCTCTATTTAATCAAGTTCGTTAAGATCGAAATTTTACTTAATTTTATCACGATTTTTTGTTCAATAATATTGCAATAACTCGCCGTCGATAAAAACGCGATACATTCTCCGATCAAGTTGCAACTAATCGCGTTCACTGCTTTTCGGAGACCAGCGATTTTGGATGAATGCGGCATTCGTGACAGCCAGTCCTTGCATTATTTACTCGATCATCGACTTGGACTGTCGCGAAATTCGAGAATATGCTCTGAGCATAGGTGCATCGAAACTCACTTTCATCGATAAACGCGTTTCCGGGGTTTAAAAACCCCAACACTGTTTTTTTTACTGAAAGAAAGTGAGTTTTGAGTGTTAGTCCAAGATGTCCGGTAACGCTTTATTTTTCTGTAGATGAACAACTGAGAAAATTTACCTGAAAATCATAATAAAAACTGCATAGGTACTTTATAAATATTAGTGAGGCAGCTCAAAGAAAGTCGTTATTTATGTTTCAGAAAACCCAATTTTTGACCATTTTTCAAGTGAAATTTACAAGACGTATTTCAGTAAAAATTTTAGAGAACTCTTGAAAGATACACTTATTTTTAGTTTTTTAACAGTTATTAATAGTGTTCAAACAAAATTTTGATACATTTTCAAACAAAATAGTGAATTATTTCAAGGAGGGACTTAAAATGTGTGGTGAAAACTGTTAAGAAATAGTGAATTTTTTTTTCAAAAACTTTTCCTCGAGAATGTTACTGACGTAACCTTCACTTAAAAAAGTATTCTGAAGGGTTTCCTAAAATATAATACAAATTTAAAAATATTTTCTTTTTGGATTTTGATCAGTATTTTTCACCTATCGTTGTTCCCAGGGTCGGTGTTCCTTTCTTATGAAAGCGAGCTGTCCTCGCGGAGGGGAAAAGTATGGTTACAATTAAGGACTGAACTTTTAAATCCATTTTTGAATTTCAGTTTAAATGGAACACTAAAGCT